AGTAGTAGTAGTAGTTTTGATGCCACCCTTCAGCCACATTCCCAGGGCAGTTTCCATAAGAAAAAGGAAGTGATTAAACTGCAAGTAAGTAAATAAATGAATAAAACAAGCTTAAAAAGAAAAAAAGAATTCTTTAAAAGCAGCATCAAACAGAATGTGAAGAATTGCATCTAAATAATAATAATGGTCAGGAAAATAGGACATTTTTCACCTGGCACTGCAAAGGACCATTGGTCCTTTTCTCATCTCTCTCCTCTGGTTCTCCTTGCTTTTGATGCCTCCATTTCACACACCAAACATTCTTTCTTCTTGGACAAATTTCTTTCAGGTAAGGTTCATTTGAAAAAGGACATGATGGGAAAGCCACCTGTTGTCTCCTGCAAGGATGGGAGACCTGTGGTCCTCCAGATGTTGTTGGGACTCCAAAGTCCCATCAGCCTCAGCCACCTTGGCAAGTGGTCAGGATTATGGGAGCTGTAGTCCAGCATCATCTGGGAGGGACACAGGTGTGTCTCCCCAGTCTACTGGTTTTAAAAACCATGACAAGTTGTACACAGGTCCAGTCATAACATACCAGAGAGTGGGAAATTGGCCCTGACTAACATTAAATATGAAGACAGATGTAGCATTGTTTCAGCTGTCACAGCGGCTAGCGATGGGTAAACACCCCCTTCCTTGGTCTGACACTTAATGGGCACAATTAAAACAAATTAATTTGCCAAGCGTCCAATGTGCTCATAATTAAATTGTCTTAAATTTAGGCCAATTATGAATCAAGGCCCTTGTCATGCTCCAGATTATTTTGTCAGAAGCCCGGCAGGGACAAGATGTTAATATAGAAGGGTTGTGCATACAGAGAGTGGGGGGGAGGACAAAAAGGGTTACGTTGGGTGGACTGCTTAACTTGGGTGTGTTTTGTCCTGCACCTGTAGCTAGTTCAGCATGTGAGAATGACTTTGGCACAATCTACAGGATAAATGCTGTTGGGTTTCAGGCAAGTTTGCTCTTTGCCCCTGCCTTTGAGCAGAGTATAGTCTGTATGTTGTAAGGAGATGGTTATCTACAACTGTATGTAAGCGAAATGACATTATATTGTCAGTCAAGCAAATGACTCTTGCTAGGACTGTTTGGTGTTTCTCTGCTCTTTGGACACACTCTGCTGGGGTGAGAATGGGCACTCTGCACATGCCCAGGGTCGGATTTAGGTTTGATGAGGCCCTAAGCTACTGAAGGTAATGGGGCCCTTAATATGTCCAGCTGTCCTTTGTCAACAACAAATGGTCACTGTCTTTTGGTGTTGAATATATGCTATATGGTCATTTATGGACCTAATGGGTATCTAAAGTCATTTGCACATGTTGCCATGTAACCAGTCCATACAGAGTGATATTTTAGAGAGCTGGCTAGCAAGCGGGGGCCATTACTTACATCATAGGAGCCTTTGTTGTTGTTTAGTCGTTTAGTCGTGTCCGACTCTTCATGACCCCATGGACCAGAGCACGCCAGGCACTCCTGTCTTCCACTGCCTCCCACAGTTTGGTCAAACTCATGCTGGTAGCTTCCAGAACACTATCCAACCATCTCATCCTCTGTCGTCCCCTTCTCCTTGGACACTCCATCTTTCCCAACATCAGGGTCTTTTCCAGTGAGTCTTCTCTTCTCATGGGGTGGCCAAAGTATTGGAGCCTCAGCTTCAGGATCTGTCCTTCCAGTGAGCACTCAGGGCTGATTTCTTCAGAATGGAGAGGTTTGATTCTTCTTGCAGTCCATGGGACTCTCAAGAGTCTCCTCCAACACCATAATTCTTTGGCGATCAGCCTTCTTTATGGTCCAGCTCTCACTCCATACATCACTACTGGGAAAACCATAGCTTTAACTATACGGACCTTTATTGGCAAGGTGATGTCTCTGCTTTTTAAGATGCTGCAGGTGCGCCTTAGAGAGCGAAAAATACAGTAGCTGGTCTCTAAGGTGCTCCTGGAAGGAATTTTTAAATTTAATTTAATTTAATTTAATTTAATTAGTTATGGGTCAGAGTTATAGAACTTGTAGATTCGGAAGGGGCCACAAGGATAATCTAGTCCAACCCCCTTCAACTCAAGAATCTTTTGCCCAATGTGGGGCTCGAACCCTTGACCAGGAGATCAATAAGTGTCTTGTGGTCTACCGACTGAGCTATCCATACAGGAAAAGGAGATGCAGCTGACTAGCAGGTCCTCCCCCCACATCAGTGTCTAATTTGAGCTTTAGGGCAGGGGTGAGGAACCTACATCTTTGTCAGCAGTAGTACAACTCCCATAATCCCTGTCTTCCAGCTGTGTTGACTGGGGCTGGTGGGATCTAGGAGGGCACCAGCTCCCCTTCCTCTGCTTTTTAAGGGAAGCTGTTTGAGAAGTAGTTCAGTCTGATGTATTTGGTGTGGGGCAAGAGGAGCTTAGAAGGATATAATATCCAATGTGCTGCTACTATTGATAGAAGCTGCGGAAAAGGTTCTAGTTCGCTGAAGGCGATGCGCTGTGAAGATTGCTCAGGCCATGGCAATTTAAAAGGGTGTGTCGTAAGCCCACAAGGGTGGCTGCCCGCCTTTGCAAAGTGCTGTCGCCTTTTGATAACTTGAATAAATTGGATGAATCGTTTGGGACACCTGCAGGCGACTCAACTGCAACCTTTTAAAAAATCTCTCCCTCTGTTTGACAGACATAATTTTGCTTGTTTGTTTAAATCAACCTGGTGTCTTAAATTCTTGACTTTTTTTTTTAATAGTCTACCCACACATGTAAGTAATTTGTAGCAAATCAACATCCAGAAAAATAAAGAACTCAACACTTCCCTGCCTCCTGAAATATAGAGGCTTCCCTTATTGGCCACAAGATAATGTCTCTTTGAGACTGGTTTTAAATCAGATGAGTACTATACATAGTTCCTTATGTTTTAGTGGAGGTGGGGTAATTTTTTCTCGAAAATATAACGTGCATTTAGCTTTCCTTAGTTTTGCATTTAAATTTTTGGCATAAACTGAGTTTATTAGCATATGTTACATCTACTTTCCTTGTTATTAATGTAGGTTGCCTTTGCTTTGGATCAAAGGATGCAAAGCTTTGAATTTATGTTGTGTCTTACTTTGCTCCCATCTGAATTAAAATTAAGAAGCACTAACGGTGCGAAATCTGGATATTTGCATTTTGTTAATTCTTACTGAGCAGCCCTTGTGCATGTTGACTCAGAAATAACTCAATGTGCTCAGTGGAACTTACTCCCAGGTAAGTGTGTGTATTTGATTGCACACTTCAGTATACTGAAAACTGTACCACTCAGCCCAAGACAGATTTTTTCTACAGGAATGTTGTACTTGAAGTGACATAGGCATGTGGCCATGAAAATTTCTGGCTGTGTCTTCAGCTTCACACCTGGCAGGTAAGGTTCTTCCTTCCATTCTTTTCACACGACTTCTCTAAACCAGATAAAGGGTTTCGCCAAATCGTTTTTATTCGTTTTCCAAATTTTACCAGATCAGCTGCAAATTAACACAAATTTAATGCAATTTCTCCAAAAACTGGTTTCTTGCACTACGTTCTTGATGCGTCCAAAATTTCCTTTCGTTGCTGCTTTATTTTCCTAGTTGTTTCTAGTTCACATTTCATTCCTTACAATTAATCTTACATTACAATAGGTTTTTTGTTGTTTTTAAACTTATTTATCCTTAGCCATCAGCTGTCCGCTTGCCGGTTCCTGCACATACAATATTTGCATGCACACAAAAGCTCATACCAATAACTAACTTAGTTGGTCTCTAAGGTGCTACTGGAAGGAATTTTTTAATTTTATTTTATTTCAACTACGGCAGACCAACACAACTACCTACCTGTAACTAGTATCTACAAGTGAGGTTGCTCCACAAATTATCAATCCACAATAAATCAGCAATCATCATTTCTAAAATAAATTCCTTTCCTCCCTTCTGCATGTCTAAAAGCCCAATAGTTCACTTTTACTAGATGTTTTTCCTTTTATTACCTGCACAGTCCACTCTGTCAAATATTCTTTCCAGTCCAAATACCTCTGTTCATTCTAAAATAGGAATTCCAAAGTTGACCCTCTGGCTCCGTATTTTTCCAGGCACCTTAACAGCCAGCCCATTATAGCAGTGGGGAGGCAGACTGTATTTCCTAGAAAATCTTTTTAACAGTTCAGTCTTTGGTCGCCCTCCCCTTAAATCAAACAAACCCAAGCCGATATCTTTCCTTTGAAATTTCCCAGCTGGCTTCTATAAGGATACACCGTTTCTTGCTGGCCATGTCCCATCCCATTCTCATCAACATTTCCCGATGCTCCAAACTTGTAACTTAACTGTTCAGTTGTTTAATTATTTTAAATTCTTTCAGTCTTCTTCCTTCAGTTCTTTCAGTTTCACAGCATAGCAGGGAAACTCAGCAGGCCATATGGAGATAATGGCAGTGGTCTACCCTGCACGATTGGTGTGAATATTTTGCCTAGTTTCATGGCCCCCCTCTTCCCCCCCCCGCCTCCAATATGGAGAAAACAAAGCTGGACAACTTCCTTTTCCCCCTCCTTTGGTGGAAAGCGCCCCTAGGGCGATGGTTTAAAAATGATTTAAGAAATCCAGATGCTTCTCCTTTTTATACACAAGTAGATCCTTGGGTTGCGGGTGGTGCTGTGGGTTAAACCACAGAGCCTAGGACTTGGCGATCAGAAGGTCGTGGTTCGAATCCCCGCAACAGGGTGAGGAGCAGGCTCTGTCCCTGCTCCTGCCAACCTAGCAGTTCGAAGGCATGTCAAAGTGCAAGTAGATAAATAGGTACCGCTCCGGCAGGAAGGTAAACGGCATTTCCGTGCGCTGCTCTGGTTCGCCAGAAGCGGCTTAGTCACACTGGCCACATGACCCAGAAGCTGTACGCCGGCTCCCTTGGCCAATAAAGCGAGATGAGCGCCGCAATCCCAGAGTCGGCCACGACTGGACCTAATGGTCAGGGGTCCCTTTACCTTTACCTTTTTAGATCCTTGGGAGCAGAGTATGGTTAAGAGCATGGTGCATGGTGCAGCATATTCTTGCATTGCAGGGGGTTGGACTAGTAGATGATGCTCAGGACCCCTTCCAAATCTGATTCGATGTGGTCTTTCAAACTCGGGCTGCGTGTGAGTGCGCGCGCGTAAAAACGAGGACCCAAATCCTGCATTTCCCACGACCGGCAGGAAGTGGTATTGTGGGGGGCGGACGGACGCAAACGACGCCGAAAGAAATCCTCCAGGAAATGCAAATCCCTAGGCTAAGGGACCAGTGGTCTAAACCTCTGCAGGTTGGTGGAACAGGGACCCGAAGGGCTGAGATCCCGGGATAGAAGCAGCGGGGTGTGCAGCTTCGAGGGAACGTCTGAATGATTCTTCGAGTGGTGCAGATGCCGGTCAGTGGCGGCGGGGAAATGGGAGGCGCGGTGGGGAGAGTGTTTCGGTTTCTGCAGGAATTTAGGGGCGCGTTTCTCCTCGGCTGCGCCGGCCCGAGTTGGGCAGAGCTCGAGCGGGTTCGGGAGGAAGAAGCCCGTCGCTGCGCGCAGTTCCCACGACCTCAAAAGGCCCGGGTGTTCGCTCTGAACGTGTGCGCGTGTTGCGCGCGCGGGCGATTCCCAGTAACTCGTCTCCCTCCTGCGCAACCTCTTCTTAAACGAGGCGGGATGGCGCGCAATTCGAATGGTGGCCTCTTAAGATGCCGCAGCCGAGACCCACTTGGTTTCCTTTGTGTTCTTTAGACAAAGGGTGGTGCATACACTTTAGCAACGGTGATAAATATAATAGTAACAGGTAACAGCAACGGCTTTGCCAGTGGTTCCGGCTGGGGCAACGCAGTCAGATGGGTAGAGAATAATTAATAATAAATAATATTAATTGCAGCTTTGCATGCTGGACGTTTGGATGTCCCAATCTTAAACCCTTATCATTTCTAGTGAAGGATTGGGTAGGTGGTATCCATTCTGCTAGTCAGAATGGATATTTCCGGGGTTGGAAGGACAAATATTCTGACATGTGTAAGACAGTTTCCAATGTGCCACCAAGCCTCTACAGTGGTACCTCAGGTTACATACGCTTCAGGTTACTGACTCCGCTAACCCAGAAATAGTACTTTGAGTTAAGGACTTTGCTTCAGGATGAGAACAGAAATCGCAGCGCGGCAGCAGCAGGAGGCCCCATTAGCTAAAGTGATACCTCAGGATAAGAACAGTTTCAGGTTAAGAACGGACCTCCGGAACGAATTAAGTTCTTAACCTGAGGTACCACTGTAGCGTATTATGTGGGGAGCAGGGGCTGATGGGAGTTGTAGTCCAAAGCATCAGAAAAGAACCAAGCTGGCCAAGGTGGAGCAGGAGGAAAGAAGCAAACCACTGTTTACTTGGGCAGTTGAAAAGGAATTGGACCCCCCCCGGACACTCTCTCTCTCTCTCTCTCTCTCTCTCTCTCTCTCACACACACACACACACACACACACACACGGGCTCCCATATTTTGGTCACATCAATGCCATTCATTATCATTGACTTGCCGATCAGAAGGTTGGTGGTTCGAATCCCCACGACGGAGTGAGCTCCCGTTGCTCGGTCCCTGCTCCTGCCAACCTAGCAGTTTGAAAGCATGTCAAAAAGTGCAAGTAGATAAATAGGTACCGCTCCAGCGGGAAGGTAAACGGCATTTCCGTGCGCTGCTCTGGTTCTCCGGAAGCGGCTTAGTCATGCTGGCCATGTGACCCGGAAGCTGTACGCCGGCTCCCTTGGCCAATAAAGCGAAATGAGCGCCGCAACCCCAGAGTCGGCCACGACTGGACCTAATGGTCAGAGGTTCCTTTACCTTTATGCCATTCATTATCATTATACATTGCCCATCCTTGAACAGCACTCTGGTAAGTAAAGGAGATGACATCATCACTGCACATTATGGGGCAACCCTCCCAGGTTGCCACTATCTCTGAATTTTAGGCATCACTTTGGCTAAGTCCCAGCCCAAAAGAAGAGAACAACCGAGGCCTTTTTCTTCCTGTAGAGTCCAGTAACTTTTGAGGATGTGGCTGTGTATTTCACCGAGGGACAAGGAGATCTGCTGGATCCGTATCAGAAAGTCTTGTACGCTGAAGTCATGATGGAGAATTATGAGAACTTGGCCTCAATAGGTAAGCATATTGATTCCTCTTCTGCTGGAGGCTGGATGATTTGCAAGGAAGCTGTGCGTTTGTCAACGGCATTTCTTCTCTGCCACCAATCCTTTACATTTTCAGGAGAGTTGAGTTGATTTCAGTTGGTCAGACTTCCATTTGCTTTCTTTCTCCAGAATGTGGAGATCACTTGGACACTGGAAGCATGGAAATGCGTTGTTTTATGCTTCCGTCAGCAGCCTCTTTGGTTTCTGCGCTGAGATCTACAGGCAACGATCAAGGGTGGTCTGTAATAGTGAAATCTAGCTCTCCTGGGGTAGCACAGCTGTTGCTGTAGTTAAACATCAGTGTGGCGATTTATTTATTTTGTGCACCGCTTCTTATTTCGAGAAAAATCTCTAATCAATTTACAAATTACCAAAAAAATGGGACTCAGTATAAGAAATTCTCGCAGTGAGGAACAGGCAGAAGGCCCTCAGAGCTGGACCTCAGGCTGAACAATGCGGGTGGAGATGCTCCTTCAGATATACAGAGCCGAGGCCATTTAGGGCTTTAAAGATCAGCACCAACACTTTGAATTGCGCTCAGAAACGTACTGGGAGCCAAGGTAGACCCTTTAGGACCAGTGTTATATGGTCCCAGCAGCCACTCCCATTCACCAGTCTAGCTGTAGTTTCTGAGTCACCTTCAAAGGTAGCCCCATGTAGAGCGCGTTGCAGTAGTCCAAGCAGGAGATTGCCAGAGCATGCACCACTCTGGTGAGACAGTGTGCAGGCAGGTAGGGTCTCAGCCAGCATACCAGATGGAGCTAGCAGACATCTGCAGCTTTTTGAAAGGAGCTGTCTTGCCTTCTGTTCTCTCCCTTCAATGATAGCAGGAACCAAAAATCTGCAGCTTTCCATGTGTTGTTGGTCTACAACTCTCCAAAATCTCTGGCCATTGGCCATGTTGGCCGGGGTTGATGAGAGTTGGGATGCCACAACATCTGCACAGGTTCCCCATCCGCGAATTTAGGAAGTTTCTACCAAACTACTCACTCTTTTGTTCCTTCTTGGCAAGGATTTTTACTGGCTAAGCCTCCTCTCATCTCCCAGCTGGAACAGGGAGAACAGCCCTGGGTGCCGGGTACTCAAGTCTTGGATGCGTCAGGGATGTTGGACACCGAGTCAGGTGAGAAGTTAGGGGAAGCTGGTGGACAAAAACACACACACACACACAAAAACATTTGGGGATTACCAGGAACTCTTAATTGCCTCTTGAGAATTGGCTCTTATGTAAGAGCCATTTCGTTCCAAGAGAGAGTTATGATCACCCAGAAGACATTGCATCCTTATGGTAGAAGTCTTTTAATTCCTTTTGCCACCTCAGCTTTGCTTATCTACAAAGTTTATTCCACACTGAAGAAGAGAACTGTCAACACCTCCTTAACAGCCGCTGTACCTCCCCTAAGCTGTGGACCACTTCACAGTTCACAGTTTCCAGTTGACATTGTCCCTTGCCGTGTTACAAGAATCTCTATACAGTCATACCTTGGTTCCTGAATGGCTTAGTTGCCGAAGAAATCAGCTCCCGAACACCGAAAACCCAGAAGTAAGTGTTCTGGGTTTTTGAACGTTTTTCGGAAGCCGAACGTCTGACACGGCTTCCGCTTGAGTGCGGGAAGCTCCTGCAGCCAATTGGAAGCCGTGCCTTGGTTTCAGGAGTCAAATGGACTTCCGGAGCGAATTAAGTTCGAGATCCAAGGTTCCACTGTATTGGGTTTTTTTATCAACTATTTTATCCTGGCTCCCTTTTAGGAATAGTTGTCTTGGTTGGTGAGAGGCAAAAACCCTAAGGTTGGATGGCCATCTGTCAGAGATTCTTTAGCTGTCTCATGAAATCACAGAGTTGGAAGGGACCCTAAGGATCATCTAGTCCAACCCCCTGCAATGCAGGAATTTGCAGCTGACCCTTACAGGGATCGCACCTGCAACCTTAGTGTTATCAGCACCATACACTATCCAGCTCCTGCATTGCAGATGGTTGGATTAGAAGACTTTTGGGGTCCCTTCCAACTGTACAGTTCTATGATTCTATGGTCTGATGTCTTAATGCTTGCTTTTAAAAAGGAGGGGGGAGTGAACCTCCAAGTGCATTCATAACTAGCATGTCATTGAGGACATTTAAGGCTGGAAGTTTTCCCCTGACACATTACTTTTCTATGTGCAAGAAGTTTACTTATGGAGGAATATTAAAACATTTCATTCTCAGCCTGTAGTCAGTTCAGATAGCGTCCAGTAACAGATAAATTACATGGGACTGCTGGTTCCTGTAGTTCACAGAAAGGCACTGAATGCCCCACACTTGTATAGGGTGAAGTAAAAATAATTGAGCAGAATGAAATAAATAATAATAATAATAATAATAATAATACCCTGCCCATCTGGCTGGGCTTCCCCAGCCACTCTGGGCAGCTTCCAACAAAATATTAAAATACAGTAATGCATCAAACATTAAAAGCTTCCCTAAACAGGGCTGCCTTCAGATGTCTTAAAGTCGGGTAGCTGTTCTTCTCTTTGACATCTGGTGGGAGGGTGTTCCGCAGGGAGGGTGCCTCTACTGAGAAGGCCCTCTGCCTGGTTCCCTGTAACTTGCCTTCTCGCAGCGAGGGAACCGCCAGAAGGCCCTCGGTGCTGGACCTCAGCATCTGGGCAGAATGATGGGGGTGGAGACGCTCCTTCAGATATACTGGACCAAGGCCGTTTATCAACGACAGATGATAAATCATTATTCACGCACACCCCACCAACCAATTTCAGTTTCTTGCACATCTTCACGTATTGTTTCCTTCCTTTATTATTTTACTACCTTCCTTTCCTTCCTTCTCAAGTTCAGAAGTGAATTGTTGTTTATCCTTGCAGGTGATGTTGAGAGACGGCCGTTGTACCCTGTGTATGGGAAAGATCTTCCTCAGATCTGCCTTATCGAACAGCAGAAATGCCGCACTGGAGAAAAAACCTCACGGTTGCTTAGAGCATCAAACATGTTCTGTCAAAAAACCACAGTTTCTGAGCGAACGTGTAAACCGCAAAGGAGAGAGGTCCCCCTGAGCCACCGGCGAGTTCTCACTGGAAAGAAGCCCTATCAGTGCTCAGAGTGTGGGAAATGTTTTCGCCAGCAGTCGCAAATTATAGCACATGAGAGAATCCACACAGGGGAGAAACCGTATGGATGTTCTGAGTGCGGAAAACGTTTTCGCCAGCAGTCGCACATTATAGCACATGAGAGAATACACACAGGGGAGAAACCGTATGGATGTTCTGAGTGCGGAAAACGTTTCACTCAGCAATCGCAGGTTCAGGCTCACGAGAGGATCCACACAGGAGAGAAGCCCTATTGTTGTGGGAAGTGCGGGAAGCGTTTCTCCCAACAAACACACCTCCTCAAACATCAGAGGCTTCACACAAGTGAGGAAAGCCTATAAATGCATGAAGTGTAGAGAGTGTTCTGCTTGACGCTTGTGGCTTTTGAGCCGCCAAGATCCACACAGCGGCAGAGGGTATGCTGCGGCCAGGCATAAGAAAACTGCCTTGGCAGCATCCTCGCTTGGTGGCACCCAGCCGTGGAGAGTGGTGCAACGGCGCAACAGCACTTTCTCTCCCTGGTGCTGCTAGGCCAGCCCTCTGTTTCCCTTTCCCACAGGATAAATCCCCAACGGAGAACGAATCACGAGCGACAGTGGGTTTTTCTTTTGGGAAAACAGGTTGCAAACAAACTGTATTATAACAGATGTAAACTAGGAGTTTTGGTTCTTCTTCCACTGAAATGTAACAACCAGTGCTGTTGCTTTTTATTAAAATGAGTACAGTTTCAAGTTTTAAGCTGAATGCTGTTCGGGTTACTTTCTTTTACACATCTTCCATAGATCAGACTTCTCCCCACACACTTCAGGAATTTAGGATTTTAACTGGACTGTTTCCTTAAAAGGTAAAGGTAAAGGTACCCCTGCCCGTTCGGGCCAGTCTTGCCAGACTCTAGGGTTGTGCGCTCATCTCACTCTAGAGGCCGGGAGCCAGCGCTGTCCGCAGACACTTCCGGGTCACGTGGCCAGCGTGACAAGCTGCATCTGGCGAGCCAGCACCAGCGCAGCACACGGAACGCCGTTTACCTTCCCGCTGGTAAGCAGTCCCTATTTATCTACTTGCACCCGGAGGTGCTTTCGAACTGCTAGGTTGGCAGGCGCTGGGACCGAACAACAGGAGCGCACCCCGCCACGGGGATTCGAACTGCTGACCATGCGATTGGCAAGTCCTAGGCGCTGAGGTTTTACCCACAGCGCCACCCGCGTCCCTTACAGACCCCCAAATCCTCCTTTGCCTCAGAATCACTACTGCCCTTTCCTGTCAGAGTATTCCCTCAGAGGACCCTTTTTCTGTGTGGGACTGTGTCTTTTCCATTTTAACAGTGTTCTGTGATTCAGAACCTGAGAGCATATACTGTCAGTTTTCGGCTCTCCTCAGCTCTACCCCCTGTCAGAAGAAGAATCCCCCTCTCAGACCCCATGAATCCCTCACACCTTCTCTCACTCCACTCCAACTGCCTCCCATGGAAAAGGCCAATCAGGAGCTGTTGCTAGGTAACAGTTTGCTGGAAGGGGGAAAAAACCAACACTCCATGACTCAGCTTGCTCAGTAAACAAACTTTTCCATCCCAAGTTGCCACCAACTCTCCTCTCTCTGCCCCGGAGTGTAGCTGCAGCTGCCAGCATTGGACTGTTGCACCAGAAAGCTGCCTCCACAGCTCCCTCATGCGCTGGAGCCAGGCTCCGATGAGGGAGCCTGTTATGGGGGTGCCTGGTCGCACCCCCTCAAAAAAAATGCGCCCGGGGCCACAGACCCACAGCCTCCCCCCAAGCTACTGTGATAGGAATTTTGAGGTCTTAGGTATATGTTAAATGTTCATAAGCGTACCAACCAAGCACGTACATAGATCAGCACAGGAAAACCGACCTGGAACCATTTTGATTCTTAAACTGAGCAAACGTTTTCTCTGCAAGGTCAAAGTGGGAAACCTCCCCATTGTCTCTTTCCTCACAAATCCTGTCTTAAGGGTATGTCTGTGTTTGAATAGGGTGTGAGCCTGTGACCTGGCCCAGGAACTAAGTATTTATCATTACAAAAGACTGGCCAGGCTCCCCAGGAAATCCAATCAAGTAACCTGCCAGACAGGAGATAAACAACGACAGGAGAAAAACAACATTCAAATTTCTGTTTTAGACCGCCTTTTCTGTGATGTAGGTATGATGTATCTGGAGGGTGGTCTTAGGTTACACCCCTTCTGTGATGTATGTATGATGTTTCTGGGGGTGGTCTTGATCTACAGGGTAGCAATTTCAAAAGTCTTTATAAGGCCTTGCGCGCCATTGTTCTGGGTTCCTCCTCCTCTCCTGCAGGTGAGGGGAGCACCCTGTTGCAACAGATCAATAATGATCAAGCTTACTGTTGCTTTGCTTCTCAATATTCTCTGGTTGGCCTCTGTTATCTTCTCCTACCAATAGGGAACCTACGTAAGGACTCTATATGGGCTCTTGGATACCCCATAAGGGAAAAGGGCAATTTTGTTTACAACAGTACTCCACAGGTTCCACAAGAGAGATAAACCTCATAAATGGAGTGTAGGAAAAAGGTTTTATCGATGCTTCGTGTTCCTCAGATACTAGAGCAGGCATCCTCAACCTGCGGCCCTCCAGATGTTTTTGGCCTACAACTCCCATGATCCCTAGCTAGCAGGACCAGTGGTCAGGGATGATGGGAATTGTAGTCTCAAAACATCAGGAGGGCCGAGGTTGAGGAAGCCTGGGCTAGAGTGTCCACACAGGAGAGACCCGCAAATGCCATGAGTGGGAAATAGTTAAATCAGTGTGCAAGCCTTTTGGAAAATCACATCAACCTCCACACAGGACAAAAAAAACAAACCCATGAATGCTTGGAATGTAGGGAAAATTTTGATGGTACCTCAGGACTAGAGAGCTCACACATGGGAGGAACCCTGTAAATGTTCAGAGAATCAAAAATGTTTTGCTCAGAGTTCCCTAGTGGAAACCCAACTGAGAAGTCACTCGCTGCTTTTTTCCCTGCATTTCTGTTGTTTTTATTATATTGATTTGTTTGACCTGCTTCAATTAAAAATATATAAAATAAAAGAAAACTCTAAAGAATGCTTTTTAAAGAGAGAATTCAATGTTTCAATGCATTACAATGTTTCAGTTCAAAGAGTTTCAATAAAGGTGGGGGCTATTGGGCTTTTCTTTGTTACTATGTTATGTATTTTTGTGTTTTTATGTTGTAAACTGCCCTGTGTTCCTCAGGTGAAGGGTGGTATAGAAATTATAAAATAAATAAAATTCACTCAGGAGACAAGCCCTTCGGCTGCCTGATTGACAGTTTGTTTTGAGGCACAATTCAGAGTCTTGGGTGACTTGTCTTGTTCATATTGTACAGATATTACATCTTGACATTTGTGCTCTATGCTGTAAATATCTCTGTAGTCTTTTGATGAAGGACAGTATATACATTTAATAATAAGGTGGGGTACCTCGGGTTACATACGCTTCAGGTTACACACTCCGCTAACCCAGAAATAGTGGTTCAGGTTAAGAACTTTGCTTCAGGACAGAACAGAATAAGAACAGAATAGTGCTTCAGGTTAAGAACTTTGCTTCAGGAGAAGAACAGAAATTGGGCTCTGGCGGCGGCAGCAGGAGGCCCCATTAGCTAAAGTGGTGCTTCAGGTTAAGAACAGTTTCAGGTTAAGTACGGACCTCCAGAACAAATTAAGTACTTAACCCAAGGTACCACTGTACTTTAAATGTATGGTACATGCATAGCTACAAGTGCTATCTTAATATGATCTTTATGGACGTAAGGGAGAGGGGATGACTATCATTCCATTTTGTGTAGGATTATTCCAGGCACGCTAGAAATATTCCAGTTGTTTCATGCATTTGATGAACTGGAGTCTAGTCCACAAAAAAGCATATCATTGCCTCCATAACCTGTGTCCAGGCTGTGAGTATTGTTGCACTTAGGTAGCCAAAGCAGCACTGCCCGTGCACAAAAATGGTAAAATGCGGGTGGCGCTGTGGTCTAAACTACTGAGCCTCTTGGGCTTGCTGATCGGAAGGTCTTCATCATTCATCTGGTGGCAGATAGCCATTTTTCTCCTCATGCTTTCCAACACTTAATTCTCCACGTGCCAGCAGAGGTCACCCAAGTTCCACTTGGATAGCTTTCTGTTCCCTGGTTGAAGATAACGCAGAAATGCAGCTCTGTGTAAGCAGGAGTGTTTGCAGGAAATATGTAGAATTGCAATACTCAAAGCTACCAGCATGAGTTTGACCAAACTGCGGGAGGCAGTGGAAGACAGGAGTGCCTGGCATGCTCTGGTCCATGGGGTTATGAAGAGTCGGACACGACTAAACAACAACAACAAAAAGGAATTTTCTGTACACGATGATGGCAGAATTTTTTACCGGCTCGGCATAACCTTTGATATTCAGTGGAGCAGGACTTTTAAAAGCAGGTTTTCCAATTCCAAAGTCCCAAACCCATCAGATATCCCAACACACACACACACACGTACGTTGAATGATGGTAGACGACATCCCCGTGTTGAGCCAATTCCCACTTGTGGAATGCTCTGCTCAAAGGCTCATCTGGCACCATCATTATATAGCTTTAGGTGCCACGTGTTACAGGAATTCTAACGTCTCAAATATAGAATAATTGTTGATAATTGCACAAGATAAACACACATAAGTATATAAACCACATGTCTAAAACAGTACATGAGAGCAATCCAGAAGTCATATTGGCTCTCCTAAAAAAAACTACAGCTATACCTCATGTTATGTCCGCTTCATGTTACGTTCTTCCAGGTTATGTCCTGCGGTGATCTGAAAGTACCGGAAAGGGTTACTTCTGGGTTTTGTTGCTCGCGTATGCGCAGATGTGCAAAATGACATCGCGCACATGCGCAGAAGCGGCGAATCGCAACCCGCACGTGTGCAGATGCACGGTTGTGGGTTGTGTTCTTTTCATGTTGCGAAGGGGCCTCCGGAACGGATCCCATTCGCAACCAGAGGTACCACTGTAAATATTTCCTCTGCCTCCTTAATCCCCCTAGGCCAACCCCAACCTTCCTCACCACCAAAGGATTACAGTGGTACCTCCAGTCACGAACTTAATCCGTTCCGGAGGTCTGTTCGTAACCGGAAACCATTCTCAACCTGAGGAACGCTTTCGCTAATGGCGTCTCCTGCTGCGCATGCACCTCTGGTGCACAATTTCGGCTCGCATTCGGGGGCAAAGTTTGCTTCCAGGAGCACGTACTTCTGGGTTAGCAGAGCTCATTACCCGAAGCGTGCGTAACCAGAAGCGTTCGCAAACAGAGGTACCACTGTACGAGTGAATAGTAAAGAGAACCTGCACAAGCGACGCTGACACAAAACCCCACACATACACTAAGCAGAGTGGAAGCTTTTCCACCCCACCCCCACTCACCATGCCACCCTCCACCTCTTTCTCCCTTTTCTTCCTAATGTAACACTAATGTCTCAACAAATGAAACGGATGTGTAGAAAATGTAACTTGAAAAAAATAGACATTGCGCATACTTTTGTAAACCAACAAATCTTTAATAAAAATAAAAATATGTTTTAAAAAATAATTTAAAAAGAGCATACTGAAAACTGAATCAATCTGATCCACACATTCCAATAGCAACCTGACAACCTAAACATAGCTATCCATTGAAATGTGCATATATCCAAATATTGCAATGCCATTTCCCAAGCCAAACCTATGGTCACAATAATACGTTTATTGGGTGAAAGTGCTCAAAAAACTGGCAGCGTGAAAATGAATATTGTTGTGAAAATAACACACAAAGATGCATTATGCTAGGAGAAATATATTGGGGGGGGGGAATGTGTACATTGGTCAAAACTGCATATAGGCATGTGTTATTAGGAGAAGTTGGCACTAAAATGACAGTCTTCTTGATTGACCCAAGAGCCAGCCAAAATCATTGCTTTGGGTGGTGCCCAAAGCAATTCAGAGTATACCCTTTGAAGTTAATAAACATGGCCAACTTTGTCAAACAATGCAAAGGGGTCTGCTCAGTTGGGTAGCACCCCTTGTACAGAATTGGGCTGAAAAGGAGGCGTGGCATCGTGAATGCCACATGGGTCAGCCAATCATTCTGCAGCAACCTATGGCTCCTCAGGGTTGAAGTAACCTTGTGGGTTTGATCCTGCATTTCGGGTAGTGTGGGTGGTTCCCCTGAACAGGGCACTGAGCTGAAGGGGGCGCAAAATTGAGAATGCCCACAATTGAGAAAAACCATTTGGGGTTGGCAAATTTTGAGCTTGCTTAGGGCACCGTGTTACTAAAGGTTGCCAAAGCCCAGTTTATGCCCATCTGTCTCCACCCTTAGGCAGAGAGTTTCAGTATGCCTTTCTTGCTCACGTAAAAGAAGGGCTGGAGGGTCTCTCCTGAGAAGGAGGCTTCTGAGAATGAGTGGAGGAGGGCTGCTGTATCTGCATCGTAAAAGGACACCCGTCCCCCTTCACAGTTCAGGGCCACTCGGATCCTCTTGGGCTCCCCACCCAGAATCGAAACAGGGGGCCCATTGCGGGTGGAGACCCTGTATTGATCACTCCACTTCCCTATGCGCCAGAAACCTTCCTTAGGACCAGGGATGAACTCTCCTTTCCTCTTCACAGACTCTCTGGCCACCCCCACGGCCCATTCCCCCTCGCTCCCCACAGCGACTTCCCAGAAATGTCTGCCTTCCCTGAACGCCTCACGTCCCAGCACGTAGTACTGGTAGTCGAATCTCTTTGGGTTGTTTAGTATGTCTTGATGCCTTTCTCCCTTCCTCACACTCTTAAGATCTCCAGACAGGATGAGCAGGGAATGGGCTGTGCCTGGATCCAAAGTTACGTTCTCTGCAGTGGGGTGGAGGGTCAGGGGAGGAAAGAGAAGACCAGCAACGTCAGCCGGGAGATTGGATTGTGTCTAAACATATGGCAGGGGGAAAGCGCTTCCTTATTTTGTCAACAAGGCTTCAATGCCGGCCTGCCCAAGAGGCATGGTGAGGCAGTTGCCTCAAGCCAGCACTGTAGGGCTGGACAATACTGGAACAGATTAAACCATTTTGCATTACTTTCTATGAGAAAGCGCGTCTTGGTTTTGGAATGGACTTCTGGAACAGATTAAGTTTGAGAAGCAAGGTACCACTGTACCTGGTTTTCAAGATCACGATATATCACCAGCTAAACATTGCAATATACTGATATATCACAATGTCTGAAATAAGGATGGAGCTTGAGCTGGCTTCACGGTTTTTCCCACATCGCGATTTTTGCTGGCACCCACTCTTGAGATTCACTGCCCCCTACATGAGGCAAAGGGGCATTTGAGCTGGCAGAGTTAACAGAGGCAGCAGGAAGTGAAAGAAGCATTGGCTGGCTTCCTGGCTTTTCCTACATTGTGTTTTTTGCATAGCACACATACACACATCGTGATTCGTGATATATTACCAGGTCAAAAATTACGAAACCAATTATCACAATATGGATTTCAAACCAGTTTTGGACAATATATTGATATATCACCCAGCCCTGCTACACTACTGCCCACCTGCTGCTAAAATGTTCAGGATAAAATGTCCAGGACAAGACCAGGTTTCTGCCTCCACATCTTGCACTGCCTCCTTTACTTTATGAGATTAGGAGTTAAAGGTAAAGGTAAAGGGACCCCTGACCATTAGGTCCAGTTGTGGCTGACTCTGGGGTTGCAGCGCTCATCTCGCTTTATTGGCCGAGGGAGCCGGCGTACAGTTTCCGGGTCCTGTGGCCAGCATGACTAAGCTGATTCTGGCAAACCAGAGCAGCGCACAGAAACGCCGTTTACCTTCTCGCCGGAGCAGTACCTATTTATCTACTTGCACTTCGATGTGCTTTCGAACTGCTAGGTTGGCAGGAGCAGGGACCGAGCAACGGGAGCTCACCCCGTCGTGGGGATTCGAACCGCTGACCTGATTGGCAAGTCCTAGGCTCTGTGGTTTAACCCACAGCGCCACCCGCATCCCATTAGGAGTTAGATTAAGAGTTAGGAGGAGTTAATGGAGCTCCAGCCCCAGCAGAGTTGCCACCTTCCTTTTTTGCTTAAGAACATTCCTGACAAAATAACAAAGAAATATCTGTGAGGTCTTGAAAGCAAACATGTCTGGACTCATGGCTAAGGAGGATATAATCTTATTGTCTGTGCATGAAGAAAAAAACACATAGCTGAGTGAGTCACAGGCAGAAGAGGACATGCAACAGAATTTGGGTTCTTTGAGCTTAAAGCGTATGGGGGGAGATCTCTCTGATGTGGGGCAGTGGACCCACCTGCCGGATCGTTTAAGCTGTGTGCCGCCACCACCTATGTTCTGCCAGTCTTTATTGGTGAACGGACACAGATATGAGAACGTGAAATGTGCCTCCAATGACCCCCTTCTGAAGAAGACCTCTTGGAGCTCCTCATCCCCAAACAGACTTGGAAATTTACCTTTTTTCAGCTGAAGTCCTGACCGCAGAGATTCTGGAGAAGGAAAGGGGAACAGAGACTCAGTGCCACACCACCATTCCTGGTCAGAAATCTGGTAATGATAACATGAGCCTTGGTAGCTCCATCAGTAGAGTGCGAGACTCTTAATCTCAAGGTCACGGGTTCAAGACCCATGATGGGCAAAAAATTCCTGCTTTGCAGGGGGTTGGACTAGATGGAAATGCGGAAGAATTGTGATTTAGGAGCTGGAGCTGGCCTTGTGCAATTAACCTTTCATTCAATACTGACCTAAGCTCGTCCTTGGGCCTCCCTGCAGCTGGAAGGAGGGATTCTACCGGTAGCCTAGTACTGTGCCCTTGTAAAGAGGGAGATGTGGCTGTTTGTTGGCTGTTTAGCTCCTCTGTGTTAACAGCTTGTTGATTGCCTGCCTTTTTGACCTTGGGTGAGGATTTGCATTTTTGTATGTGGGTCTAAAGTCCTATTTTTGCTCAATAAATCCAGACTTTCTCCTCCACCAGTGGTTTGTCATTACTTCAAATATCCATTAAGAGTGAACCCTTTTTTATTTGACAAAAGTTACCCTACAATTCAACGAGCTCACAGCATTATAGCTCGGGGTGGCCAACATGGTGCCCTCTAGATGTTATGGACTGCAAGTCCCATCATTCCTAGCAACTGACCATGCTGGCTGGGGATGATGGGAGTTGTGGGCAAAAACATTGGCAAGCCACCATGTTGATTCTCCCTGCATACATCAGGGCAGGGGCGGTGCCTGGACCAAAAACTTGGAAGAACAGGGACCCCCACTAATAGATCTCCCCAGAAACCTTGAGGAGCTGCCAAATCTCAGCTGAAGCTTCCTGATCCTGGGAAGTGGAGAACAAGTCTCAGCTGTCCCTTTTCTGGCTGCAAATTCAGCTACCCAGACAGAGAGGGTGGATTGAATTCCCAGGTTTTTGAGTGGGGAGTTAAGGCCTGCTGCCATTGGAGGATGGCCTTATCTCCAGCCATTCCAGGTCCCAGGGTCAATCCTATCCAGGGAGGGATGGAAATGCCTCTTGCCTGAACTCCTGGAGAGCATCACTGTAGACAATATTGAGCTAGAGGGACCCAGAGTTGGGACGATGTGAAATCATTCCCCCATCCCACTGTTAAACAAGGCTGGATGCTGAAGCCCATAGCATCTACAAATGAGCAGGATGCAGTTGTCCAGACTATGTTTGAGCAGAGCCCTTTCTGCAATTAAATATATTTGCCTTTTCATTGCCTAATTATTCTATTTCCCAGCCTTGCTCACATTGCAAATGACCTCGAAGCATTCGTGCACAATTTTTAACATAAGCCTTGCAGCACTTTTTCATTACCTCTGAATTTATTCATGACACCCATCAGGAAGGGATTTATATCGCAGAAGTCCCAGATCCTCCACTTCAGGGCAGGAGGAAAAGCCACAGGAGGATCCTGCAAGTTCTGCTTTGCCCGAGACCTGGGGGAGAAGATCATCATCAACCCACCATCCTTCCAATGAAGAGTAGCTCTCTGTAAAGCCACGTGCCTTATGAGGAACGGTTGCAGGAGTTTGGCATGTTTAACCTGGTAAAGATGAGTCTGAGAGTATATCTTCAAATATCTAAAGGGCTGTCACATGGAAGATGGAACAAGCTTGTTTCCTCCTTCTCTGGAGGGTAAGACAAGAAGAAGAGGAAGAAGAGGAGGAGGAGGAGGAGTTTGGATTTGATATCCCGCTTTATCACTACCCTAAGGAGTCTCAAAGGGACGTGGGTGCCACTGTGAGTTAAACCACAGAGCCTAGGACTTGCCGATCAGAAGGTCGGCGGTTCGAATTCCCGCAACAGGGTGAGCTCCCGTTGCTCGGTCCCTGCTCCTGCCAACCTAGCAGTTCGAAAGCATGTCAAAGTGCAAGTAGATAAATAGGTACCGCTCCGGCGGGAAGGTAAACGGCGTTTCCATGCGCTGCTCTGGTTCGCCAGAAGCGGCTTAGTCATGCTGGCCACATGACCTAGAAGCTGTATGCTGGCCCCCTTGGCCAATAAAGCGAGATGAGCGCCGCAACCCCAGAGTCGGTCACGACTGGACCTAATGGTCAGAGGTCCATTTACCTTTACCTAAGGAGTCTTAAAGTGACTAACATTCTCCTTTCCCTTCCTCCCCCACAACAAACACTCTGTGAGGTGAGTGAGGCTGAGAGACTTCAGAGAAGTGTGACTAGCCCAAGGTCACCCAGCAGCTGCATGTGGAGGAGTGGAGATGCGAACCCAGTTCACCAGATTACGAGTCCACCGCTCTTAACCACTACACCACACTGGCTCCCACACCACACTGGCTTCAAATTACAAGAAAGGAGTTTCCAACTAAGGAAGAACTTTCTGGCAGTAAGAGCTGTATGACAGCAGAACAGGAGGTGGTGGGTTCTCCCTCCTTGGAGATTTTAAGCAGAGGTTGGAAGGCTACCTGTACTATATGAGTTAGTTGAGATTCCTGCATTGCAGGGGGCTGGACTGGGTGACCCTCAGGGTCCCTTTCAACTCTGCAGTTCTATGTAGGTGTCGAATCTTAATTAGAATCCTAGCATCACAGAACAGATCTGTTCCTCCTTGCTGGTGAGGACAACGAAATTGTCAGCAAGACAATGGAGGAATTTGGGGGACCTTAATTTCTTGGCAGCGTTTGAGTTCCGACAGATATGGGAGAAGTTGAAATCTCCCATGTCCACTATATAGTAAGGTCGCTGTTGTTTCTCTCTCCTCCTTAACATATTCCTATAGTTTCCTATGCGTGAGTTGGGGCTACTCCCCGGCAGTGATCCTAGGTGATCTTTGTGCTTACCTCTGTAAGAAGCTTCTGATATCCTAGAGGGAAATAAAAAGGGAGATTCAGTGAAGACATTTCCCTGTGTAACATGGAGTGGGTCTATTTCAATCGCTCAACAGCTGAAGAAAAAACAGGCATATCTCTCTCTCTCTCTCTCTATATATATATATCTATCTCTCTCTCTCTCTCTCTCTCTCTCTCTCTATATATATATATATATATATATATATATATATATAGATATAGATATATATGTATAAATAAATATTGTCCAAGTGCAAAACCAAACCTTCCCCATCAAATACACACACATCTATAATCGTAAGATAAGTGAGTCAAACGGCAAAGTACAGCCATTTGTGCAGGGCCAAGTTTTTTTGTTTTGTTTTTTTTAATGCATGTTTGGTTTAAAAGTGAGTTTCAGGCTGGAAAGTGTTGAAGACTGGGATAATGTGTACCAGTTCAGCCTTCCACCCCTGATTGGCTTTATGTGGGTGGGGGAGATTTCAAAAATGGTATCTCCCTGTTTGTAATGTGAATTGGTACACTCCACCCAGAACCAGACTCTACCTGCAGGAGTTGGCTCGCTGGCTGCTGAAACTTCTCCTGCATCACCTTGATGCGGTTTTCAAGAGAGGAGAGCTTCTCTGACAGCCTGGCCAGGTGCTCCTCGCTTTTCCTGGCAACCTCCTTCTCCACCTCTGCCATCCGGGCCAGGAGATTTTTCTCTAGTGCTTCCAGAAACTGTCGTAGCCGTCTGAACTCAGCCACCATCTTTTCCCTCTCTGAGTCTGTTCGTTTCTGCAGCAAATACAGTGGTACCTCGGGTTACAGATGCTTCAGGTTACAGATGCTTCAGGTTACAGACTCTGCTAACCCAGAAATAGTACCTTGGGTTAAGAACTTTACCTCGGGATGAGAACAGAAATCATGCGGTGACAGCGGGAGGCCCCATTAGCTAAAGTGGTACTTCGGGTTAAGAACAGTTTCAGGTTAAGAACGGACCTCCGGAACGAATTAAGTTCTTAACCCGAGGTACCACTGTAAAGTGAAAAGGTGAGAACAGCGGGTGTGTCTCAGGAACCAAGAGTGAGGCTTTGCAGACTCAAGAGATCAGTTCTGAGAATTCCTTTGGAAGGGCACATCTGACATTCGCACCAATATTCAGAAGCAAGCTTACAATCACCCCTCACCCCATGCTATTTCATGTTCTTTGGGCAATCAGGCCATTATAAATAGTAAGGGGGTGCATTAGATAACACACACCCCTCTCTCTCACACACATACACCCCTTTCTGGATTTCAGACAGCGATTCTGAAATATATGGCACTTTTCCACACCCCGGGAAGAGCAAAACTTACAAGCAGGTCTTGGCTTTCCTTCTCAAAGTCTGCTTTAACTGCCAGAGTTTCCCGCGTCTCCTTCTTCAGAATTTCTATCCAGTTGCGGAGTTGATCCTGAAAAGAAAACAGTTTGGTTCCTTTCTTTAAAAACAAACGTTTTAGTATACAGATAATAGGCAAGTTAAATACAGTGGTACCTCGGGTTACATACGCTTCACGTTACAGACTCTGCTAACCTAGAAATAGTGCTTCAGGTTAAGAACTTTGCTTCAGGATGAGAACAGAAATTGTGCTCTGGCGGCGCAGCAGCAGCAGGAGGCCCCATTAGCTAAAGTGGTGCTTCAGGTTAAGAACAGTTTCAGGTTAAGTACAGACCTCCGGAACTAATTAAGTACTTGACCAGAGGTACCACTGTAGTATGCTTGGGTCACCCTTCTGCATCCCAGAATTTGGCCCCTGTGAAGCAGCCCAGGATCTCTTACTGGAGATTTTCTCTTGTCTGGCGTGTGTGTAGTAAAGCATTTTGTTTCAAGTCTCCCTTGTGCACACCTATGTCTCCCCACTGCACCCCAAATCAAGACCCACTGCATTTTCCTACCTTGTACTCCTGGGACGCCTCCTCCAGAGGAATCACCTCATGTTTCTTGTGCTCCTTGGACCTGTCACACACCACACAGATGGGGGCTTCTTCCTCCTTGCAGAAGAGCTTCAGGGGCTCCTGGTGCTTCTCGCAGATCTTCCCCTTTCCTTCGGCCCCCTTTTCCCCTGGAAGGGAGACTTTCTCGGCTACTAGTATTTCCACAACATTTTGCAGCGGCCGATTGGGGATGAGGTTCCTGTGCTGAATGATTTCCCTGCACTGAGGGCAGGAAGCCTCTCCCTCTGATTCCCCCCAGCATTGGGTCAGGCAGGCTCGGCAGAAGTTGTGCCCGCACTCCGGGATGATCACCGGATCCCTGAAATACTCCAGGCAGATGGGGCAAGTGGCTTCCTCGCAGAGATCCTGCACGGGACCCCCAGAAGCAGCCATGGCTGCTGCCTCGCCAGGAAGAGAGAGCTTGGATCCCTTTTCTTTGCTTTTCGCGCGCGAATGGATGTGTTTCCATTTCCTTTCCAGGGGGTGACTCAAAATTTCCTTGCTCTGCAGATGGTTAGAAAGGAGATCTGGCATATTGCTTGCCCCACCCAAGCAGGGTGACTCAGGATCTCTGCTGCCTTTGAGACGTGGATTTAAGTGGATTTAAGTCTTTGATATGGAAATTCATTTTTAAATCTTTCCAGCTTCAGGGCACAATCACGGGACAATTGGAGACCCCTCAGCAGCCACCGACCTGGGGAATTTTTTTTAAAATATATATATTTTATTAAGGATTTTCTTGTTTTACAGAAGTGTAGTGCCTCGTATTTTATTTTTTCCCCATGTAACATTTTTACAAATCCGTTTCATTTGTTGAGGCATTAGGGGGAGAAGAAAAGAAAAAAGAAAAAAGAAAGGGGGGGTGGAGAGAGGGAAGATGGATGGGGGTGGGGTCGGGTGGCGGTGTTTCTATTATGTTTAATGTATGTAGAGTTTGGTGTCAGCGTTTTAAAGCTGTTTTCAGGTCCAGCTTCTTCCCGCTTTTTTTACATCCGCTGATCCCATCTCCAGTCTGTCCATCCTCTCAGAAAAATTAACATGGATGGAATCATTTATCTTTCTTTTTTATTTTTTGGTGAGGGGAAGAGTTCTTTCTCTTTTTACTTGTGATTTTTTAATCTTTATATACAGTGGTACCTCAGGTTAAGTACTTAATTCATTCTGGAGGTCCGTTCTTAACCTGAAACTGTTCTTAACCCGAAGCACCACTTTAGCTAATGGGGCCTCCTGCTGCTGCTGCTGCGCCGCCGGAGCACAATTTCTGTTCTCATCCTGAAGCAAAGTTCTTAACCCGAGGTATTATTTCTGGGTTAGTGGAGTCTGTAACCTGAAGCATATGTAACCCAAGGTACCACTATACTGCTGAATTATTCTTGTTCGGTGGTTGACACATTCCTCATAAAATTCTTTTCAAATCAGTGTTTTAAAAAAATTTCAGTGTCGATGCTCTGAACATTTTTCTCTGACATTTCATTTGATCCATGCTGAAGTGAGGGCACTCTTCTTAATTTGGGTCTAATTTGGGCCTGCTCCCTTCCAAGGCCTTTTCCAACTGGTCCAGGCCCTCTCTCCCAGCTATAAAGGGACTCCTGCTGCGGTGAGGCCTCGGACCATCGGCTGTGGGGAGGACTGCAGGCCTGTGTGGTGTAGTGGTTAAGAGCGGTGGACTCGTAATCTGGGGAACCAGGTTCACTTCTCCGCTCCTCCACATGCAGCTGCTGGGTGACCTTGGGCTAGTCCCACTTCTCTGAAGTCTCTCAGCCCCACTCACCTCACAGAGTGTTTTTTGTGGGGGAGGAAGGGAAAGGAGATTGTTAGCCGCTTTGAGACTCCTTAAAGGGAGTGAAAGGCGGGATATCAAATCCAAACTCTTCTTCTTCTTCTTCCTTCCAAGGCCTTTCCAACTGGCCCAGGCCCTTATTTGGAACAAACTTTTGGGGAAGTGTGGGAAGTGTTCTGCCATTGCTTCCCTGTTCCAAGCGGTTAATGTGTTTTAAAATGTCCTCAAGCAGTCGGTGGCAATTAAAATTTTATTTTCTTTTTTTCCTTTTTGGGGGTGGGTGGGTGGGATGGATATTTGGTTGGGGATTAATTTTTGTATAATTGTTCTGTTCTTGATTTTTGTTGTTTTATTGGTTCTGTATAGTTGTCAAGGCAGCCATGAATTCCTGAGCCGCCACCCCCAGAGCCAGTCGCCTCAACATGGATGTTGAAGCCCCCCAGATGCAGCCGTCTGGGAGCCCTCAATGCTGCCCCCAAGACTGGCTCTGCCACTCTGCCAGGGGAACTGCTGGGAAGTGAAGCAGCCAGCAGAATCCCAAATCTGCCCCAATTAATTACCCAGTGCCAGGAACGAACACTGTAGGATCCCCATTCATCTGGAGAGAGAAAGAGAATCTCTCTAGACCACAGCAACCCCCCACTTGCTGGCTCTGAAGTCTGCCCTGATCCTGCACTGAGTAGCCAGATGGGCACAACTGGGCAAGACCAACTCCACCTTGTTTTCCCATCCAGGTCTCAGGAATACACACCAGACCGGCCTCCTCACCCACAATCAAGTAATGGAGGAGAGGAACTTTATTAACAGGCAACCTAGCATGAACCTCAGTAGTCATGGTCCTCTGGGCTGGCTGATAGGATATCGGTTCCTCAGGTCGGAGGGAGGCCTGGCACACGTAACATCCCCATACCTTCCTCTGCTGTGGGCCCCTGATCCTCCCCACCCCCGTCTCCCACACCATACTTTCCTTTGAACAGGGCAGGATTTCTGTGGAGTTGGAGATATCCAGTCTAGAGCGGAAGGGATGAGGCGTCACGGGGGAAACAGTAAAAACCTGTTGGGGGGTGGGTATCCTCAGACCCATAGATTGCCTAAAAACTAGGGGGGGGGACACAACATGAGTTTGACTGAACTGCGGGAGGCTGTGGAAGATAGGAGTGCCTGGCGTGCTGTGGTCCATGGGGTCACGAAGAGTCGGACACGACTAAACAACAAACAACAATCTGAATATTCACTACGAAGCACCTTGGAGAAAATAATTGTATACATGGGAATTTACCCCCCACCCCTAATATTCTCTAGTCTAGATTGTCATTCAGAACCTCTGACAGAGGCTCTTCATTGTCAGAGAGGATTTTGTTACCTCGAGGCCCAAGACCTACGTGGGGGGTTACATTCCTGGGGTCAGCATTTTTGTTGTTGTTTAGGTGTGTCCGACTCTTTGTGCATGCAAGGGCAATATTGAATAAGTCAGGAAGACCCTCGAAAATGCCCCCCAAGCAACCATCCTTACTTGTCCGAAGCCAGAGATCTTGACCTTTCTAGAGGCCGGGAAGCAAGGTGGACTTAGAAATTCTTTTCCCCACTACCAAAGCCCCCCCCCCCCATGAGGTCTCTCATGTTCTTTCTATTTATTAATTTGTTTTGAGGAATGGTTCCAGGGTGCAATCTGTACTCAACTAGCAAACATGTCTCTTTGGATATAGAGATTTTGCCGAATTGCCACATAAGCTTCCCTGAGGAGCAGCAAAAAAGAGGAATTTTGGAAACTTCCATCTCCCTGGCCAGTGGAGATCTTGGAGGAGGAAAAGGGAATCTGAGAACAGGATTGAGGCTGAGAAAGGTTTTAAGTGATGCTCTTTGCATAATTCTGATTTTATTCAGAAAAAATGATGGTACTGTCTCTAGAAATCTTAAGTCAGAGTTGGGGGTTAGAGAGAGAACTACATTGAAACAGGAATGTGTGTAGGGTTAGTTCCTATGTTTTTCCTATGTTTGGAGATTGAAAGGGGACCCAATCAATCAGTGTCATTTAAAAAGCTGGCCCAGGAATAGAGAGCTGCATCATGATTGACGCAAGGGATGGCCAATCACAGTTCTGCAAATATGGTTTCTCAAGTGCTTGTAAGCTCAATCTTGAAGGGAAGACTGAATATGTCATAATGGCAATGAATATACGCTTGCCTGTCTGCACCATCAATCAAGAGAGTGTCAGGTTCTCGGTTTTCCTCACGTAAAACAAGGGCTGGAGGGTCTCTCCTGAGAAGGAGGCTGCAGGGAACGTGTAGAGGAGGGCTGCTGTATCAGCATCGTAAAAGGACATCTGTCCCCCCTCACAGTTCAGGGCCACTCGGATCCTCTTGGGCTTCTCACTTGGAACAGGGGCCTCATGGGGGTCATACCCAAAGACCCAGTTCCCGAAACACCAGATCCCCTCCGTAGCATCAAAAGACACAACACCCTTCCTCTTCACAGACTTTCTGGCAACCCCCACCCCCCACCCCTCCTCTCTTCCCACAGTGACCTCCCAGAAATGTCGGCCTGATGTGAAACCCTCACATCCCAGCACAAAGCCATGCGTGTCAAATCTCTCAGGGTTGTCTGGCAGGTCTTGATAGAAGTCTCCCTCTCTCACACTCTTTCGATCCTCAGACAGGATGAGGTAGGGATTTGCTGTGTCTGGATCCAAAGTTACGTTTTCTGTGGGGGCAGAGGAGGAAAGAGAAGAGAAACGACGTCAACGCGGAAGCTGACTCTTTTTTAGGGACATGACAGAAACAGCATCCCCTCTGAAATGAACAGGGACTCCATGGCTCTGCATTCGAGAGAGGAATGTCCATCAAGTTCTTAAAAATGCTTCTTGAAACATCTGCAGTTCTTCCAAGGGTATGAAGTACTTAGCACACATTATCTACATAGAACCCTTGCAAAGACCCTGTGAGTTTAGTCAATCTTACTATGCCCATTTTTCAGATGGGAAAACTAAGGCTGAGAGGCAGTGGCTTGTCTAAGGCCACCCCCACCCCCCACAGTTCATGGCAGAAAGGAGTCAAAGCAGGGACTCCCTGATTCACATCTTAATCTTCTACTTCACATCACAGACCATGCTTGACATACCAGGTAAAACTGGGAGCAAGTGCTCTCACTCTTTTCTAACCAGTTTAATGTTTAATCCTTCCAGGTAGTTTAGAAAAAGCAAGAAAGTGGTTAGGCTACCCAGAACCCCCTTGTGTGAAATGTCCTGCTTGGGATTCTTGAAAGCCCATCGTATGATTGTAGAGTTGGGAGGGACCCCAAGGGTCATCTAGTCCAACCCACTGCAATGCAGGGATCCCAACTAAAGCACCCACCACAGGGGGGCCCCCAACCTCTGCTTCAAAACCTCCAAGGAAGGAGAGTCCACCACCTTCTGAGGGACTCCCATGTTCTGTAGTGTGGGCCTTTGGTCAAAGTATGAGCAGTCAGCCAAGAACTAACTTGATTATCGCTTGCGATTTAGTATGAGCGATGCAGAAAAGGGATAATTCTTTCTTTCAAATTGGCATCTATTACATTTTGTGTGTGTGTGTGTCTGTGTGTGTGTTAAAGCCAAACCCAGTAAAACCTAGGAAGTGCCATTCCCACCTGTCACCTTCAACGCAAAGACCCCACCCTGGCTCCCCAGACCTGATTGGCTATATGATTCATCTTTTTCTTCTCTGTTCCTCACATTTATGGGAAAAGTGGGCTGTAGAAGCATCAAGAGAAGCCCAGTTAAACTTGGTCAGGCTGGTGGACATTAGAAAGAAGATCTGCTCTGAAGTGCTGTCGTTCCCCCCCCCCCCCGGTTAGTCAAGTGATTTCTTTTTACAGACACACATTTGCACAGTGGCCTTTGGAGATTAAGTCTGATGTGGGATGTTGCCAGTGCTATTAGTCTTTTTTTTATGTAATGGGTTTTTCTAGTTTCTTATTGTCTTGATTAGCCTTTATGCATTTTACTCACTGCTGTTGTCTAGAAGAATCCCAGATATTTTTTTTTAAAAAAATAGTAAGAGTTTCCTTTATGCTGCCATCTATGGCACCTTTTCCAGCTCTTATGATTCGCTTTTTGTGGTGTCCAGGATCAGGCCAGACTAGACTTCTGTCTTCCCACTGAGCCTTTTCCCCTGGTCTGTGGTGCAATTCTGCCCTCCTCTTTTAAGTTTATTCAGGTTTCTCTTGTTTTAGCAGAGAAGCCATGTCTCCCCTCCGATACAAAAGCTGAGGGAAGACCCCCAATCTTGCAGGGAAGCTGGACCACTGGAGTTCACACTCAGGCAGCCCCCAGCTCCCTCCACAGACATCAGAACCCATTTACCTTCCAGACCCCAAAGGTTGTTGCAGCCATTTTCTGAGCTATTTCTGTTCATGCATTCCCACTCTTACACATTAAAGGTAAAGGTAAAGGTACCCCTGCCCGTACGGGCCAGTCGTGTCCGACTCTAGGGTTGTGTGCCCATCTCACTTAAGAGGCCGGGGGCCAGCGCTGTCCGGAGACACTTCTGGGTCACGTGGCCAGCGTGACAAGCTGCATCTGGTGAGCCAGCGCAGCACACGGAAATGCAGTTTACCTTCCCGCCAGTAAGCGGTCCCTATTTATCTACTTGCACCCAGGGGTGCTTTCGAACTGCTAGGTTGGCAGGCGCTGGGACCGAGCAACGGGAGTGCACCCCACCGCGGGGATTCGAACCGCCGACCTGACGATCGGAAAGTCCTAGGCACTGAGGTTTTACCCACAGCGCCACCCACGTTTAAGCAGAGAAGTAGTTTAAGCAGAGAAGCCATGTCTCCCATCCAATACAAGACCCCCATCTTGCAGGGACGCTGGACCCCTGGAGTTCACACTCAGGCAGCCCCCAGCTCCCTCCACTGACACCAGAACCCATTCACCTTCTCGCCCCCCAAAGGTTGTTGCAGCCATTTTCTGAGCTATTTGTGTTCATGCATTTCCCACTCTTACATAAAAGGGGTGGGGACCCTGTATGGCTCAAAGGGATATTTCCCCCTCATGTGCCGGGAGCCTTTGGCTTCACACCACCCCTGTGTCTTATGGAGATTGGGCACAGAAAAGCCAGCCTTCCTGGGCTGGGGGCTTCCTAAGAGTCTGCAGGATCAGGCCAAGAGCCCCTCTAGGCCAGCATGCTGCTCTCACGGAACAGATGCCTCTGGGAAATAAGGGGAAATAAGGCATGGAAGGAAGAGCTGCAGTGGCCTGGTCTTTTGAGAAGCGGATACCATCTCTCCCGAATTTGTGCCTCTGCTTGACTCGGAAATGTACCTTTTCGCAGCTGCAGTCCATTTTCCACAGTGTCTGGGAGAGAAAAGAGAACAGAGAATTAGCACCGCAACATCATTCAGACAACAAACCTGGAATGAACAATATGAGCTCATGAGATTGTAGCCAGGTGTTGTGGACTACAAGTCCCATCATCTCTAACCACTGGCCATGCCGGCTGGAGATTATGGGAGTTGTAGTTAAAACTATTTGAAGGTCTCCATGCTGGCTTTCCCTGCATAACCAGGGCAGGGGTGATGCCATGGTTCAGACCTGCCCAAATCTTGGGAGGAGGAGCAGGACCCCCAGAAGATCTCCCCATCAACAACAACGTCCAGACACCCCCGTTCCAGGATGGGAGCCCTCAACCCCAGTCCCCTCTGCTCCTGGCTGGCTCCTGGACAGCCCCCCTCCTTCTGCCCCCCTTACATCAATCTCAGGGCCAAAGGAACAGGAGAAATGCCTGAAAAGTGAGATGTGTGAAAGCACCCAAAGTCTGGCTGAGAGATCTGCAGAAGTCAAGTACAACTTTTTACAGACACTCACCACTTGAGGGAGGCTTACATTCCTGGGGATTGCATAATCACCCCAGGTCACCCCTCTCATTTTCCTGGCACTGCTAATGACTTGGAGCCTTTCATGAACAATTTCAAACATCCAGTATAAAATATTTTCAGCTCTTCTTTACTACCTCTGAATTTCTTCATGATACCCTTCAGGAAGAGATTTAGATCTTTGAAGTGTTGTGAATACTTCTAAACATCCAGCTAACAATACTTTCAGCCCTTCTTTATTACCTCTGAATTTCTTCATAACTCCATCCAGGAAGAGACTCATATCACAGACGTCCCAGATCCTCCACTTCAGGGCAGGAGGAAAAGCCACAGGAGGATCCTCTAAGTTCTCCTTCTCCTGAGACCTGGGAGGAGAAGAACAAGTCACCATCCTTCCAACGCAAGGAGCTTTCTGACAAGGCTCATCCTGATGATGAAGGCACCATGGATCTATCATGAAGACTTGGGAGCAGAGTTCTATGGCAAAAGGGAGCATCTGGATGATGTGTGGATCTAAAAGCATTGAAGAAGTTGAAGAAAAACCGATACACACCTGCTTCCATAATACATGGGAATAAATATATGAATATGAGATTGAAGGGAAATAAGCTGATATATGCATATCATTTTTTTGAAGAAAGGTGAACAATAATGGGTCCTTATGCAGCGGGTGGCGCTGTGGGTTAAACCTCAGCGCCTAGGACTTGCCTATTGCATGGTCGGTGGTTCGAATCCCCACGGCGTGGTGCGCTCCTGTTGCTCGGTCCCAGCGCCTGCCAACCTAGCAGTTTGAAAACACCCTCGGGTGCAAGTAGATAAATAGGGACCGCTTATCAGCGGGAAGGCAAACGGTGTTTCCGTGTGCGGCTCTGGCTCGCCAGAGCAGCTTCGTCACGATGGCCACGTGACCCGGAAGTGTCTGCGGACAGCGCTGGCTCCCAGCCTCTAGAGTGAGATGAGCGCACAACCCTAGAGTCTGGCAAGACTGGCCTGTATGGGCAGGGGTACCTTTACCTTATGCAGAGATTTTAGGACTACACCAGTGAAGCATTCCAAATGATTAAAATTATTAATATTTTGTAGCCCAGTGGTTATGTTTAAAGTGGAGATAACTATTAGAAATTAAAGCTGTGTTTTCTCAGCATGGAAGATTTTCAAAATATGAAGCTGTTTGAGGACAAGGCTCTCAGCGGCTGCTCTTCACGATGGCTGAGTCAAAGGCAGTGGTGCCTCTGAACGACAGGAGGGGAGTGTCCTCTGGGGCCCGGATCCTGATCACCGTGGGTTTCACACTGGCATCTGGTTAAGCACTGTGAAAAGAGGATGGTGGACTAGATGGGTCACTGGCTGCTTGCCGTTTAAACAGGAGTTTAAAATTAACATGAACCATGGAATTTTATTATTTTTTATCTTTTGGTGTGGGGGAAGTGTTTTCTCTCTTTTACTTGCGATTTTTTTTATCATTATATACTGCTAAATTATTATTGTTTGGTGGCTGATACATATTCCTCATAAAATCAGAGAACACGTGGCTTTTTTTGGGGGGGGGGGAGGAATTTCACTGGCCGGATCCAGCAGGGCCCTTTCTCACCTTCTTATGTCTGAGGAAGAACCTGCAGAAGCCAGAAATACACTGGATATTTAAGGGTAAGTTATAGTGAAGCCCCTTTGGAATGTCTCCCTTTTCTGTATCTATTGCAGAGGAAATGAATCCATCAGGGAAAAGGGAGAAGTATGTAATGGGGGGGGGGGGGAGAAGGAATAGCTGGGGTTTTTCCATCACTTACCTCTGCAAGAAGCTTCCAATATCCTGGAGGGAAAGAACGAAAGATGTCAGTGGAGCCGTTTCTGCAGTCAGTTATAAATACTAAGCAGCTGAGTGGCAACTGCTGGGGATCACAGGATTGGAGAGCACTACTGTTTTTTAGGCTTCTCAGAGACCTCTGGTTGGCCAATGAGAGAACATGATGCTAGAATGAAGGGGCCTGTGGTTTGATCTAGCAGGGCCCCTTCTGCGTCCCCAGGAATGACACCTTTCACCCTTCATGTACTGTTTTCATTCCAGCAACATTTTTATGTGACTAAAAATGCCTGTAGTCTGAAGCATCACACTCCACCCTCTCGCATCAGGATGAGGCCTCACCTGCAGGAGTTCACTCTCTGGTTCCTGAAGCTTCTCCTCCATCTCCCGGATGAGGCTGTCAAGAGAGGAGAGTTCCCTGGAGAGTCTGGCCAGGTGCTCCTCCCTTTTGGCTGCAATCTCCTTCTCCACTTCTGCCATCTGGGCCAGAATACGTTTCTCTTGTTCTTCCAGAAACTGGTGCAGTCGCCTGATCTCAGCCACCATCTTTTCCCTCTCTGCAACTGTTTGTTTCTGCAGCAAAGAGATTGAAAGAAGAGAACAGTGCGCCAATATCAGGCATCTAGCCTCCTGTTAAAGGATGAGGAGGCCAGTTATCCTAATTCCCTTGGAAGGCCACTTCTGACATGTTCAGCAGAGAAAGAACTCCATAAAAACTTACAAGCTCACCCCCTCCTTTAAATGGTCTTTCATGCTCTGTGAGAGATAGGGCTGTTCAAAAAGAAACCACTTTCTGTATTCCATATTCATTGCCCCCCAAGAAGATCTTAAAAGAAACAATGATGTTTACAAGCAGGTCTTGACTTTCCTTTTCTGCGTCTGCTTTAAACACCAGAAATTTCTCTCTCTCCTTCTTCGTGTTGTCTAGGCAGGTGCTGATCTGATCCTGAAAACAAAACAAAATCAAAGTTTGCTTGTTTTTTTTCTCTGTTGGAATTCATAATAACAGGAAAGTTGAATCACATGCTTGCTCCCTGCCCCAAAGACTGTGGTCTTTGCCTTCTTCATCCTGGGAGCCTGTGGCGCAATGGGTCAGTGTGTCTGGCTGTCAACCAGAAGGTTGGTGGTTCGAGCCCAACCAGGGACGGCTGTGGGCAGAATTCCTGCATTGCGGGGGGTTGGACTAGATGGCCCTCAGGGTCCCTTCCAACTCCACTATTCTGTGATTCTTTCCCTGCCACCTCCATTGCTCCTCCCTCCAGCCCTTTCCTAAGGGAGCTGCTACCAGAGGATGAACTGGGGGTGAGTTTCTCCAGCAGGGGGACATTGGGGGCACTATAATCCCCAGAAAGGAAAAAAGAAATGTTTATTGAACAGAGTTTCCGAAGCTTAGTTTTTAGAAGGCTGCACAAAAGCTCCTGCTGGCGAGTGACTCTTTGGCTGCCGGAGGGGAGAATACATTACAGCGTTTTCTTGCAAGACCCCCTTCTCTGTTGCTATTTCACCCTCACCATCCCCAAAGGAAACCCAGAGAGATTTCCTACCTTGTACTCCTGGGACGCCTCCTCTAGAGGAACCACCTCGTGGCTTTTGTGCTCCTTGGACCTGTCACACACCACACAGATCGGGCTTTCGTCCTCCTTGCAGAAGAGCTTCAGGGGCTCCTGGTGCTTCTCGCAGATCTTCCCCTTTCCTTCGGTCTCCTTTTCACCTTGAAGACGGAGTTTTTCCAAAACATTTGCCAGCGGCCGATTGGGGATGAGGTTCCTGTGCTGAAGGATTTCCCTGCACTGAGGGCAGGAAGCCTCTCCCTCGGATTCCCCCCAGCACTGGATCAGGCAGGATCGGCAGAAGTTGTGCCCGCACTCCGGGATGATCACTGGATCCCGGAAACTCTCCAGGCAGATGGGGCAAGTGGCTTCCTCGCAGAGATCCTGCACGGGACCCCCAGATGCAGCCATGGCTGCTGCCTCGCCAGGGAGAGAGAGTTTGTTTCGTTTGCTTTGCTCTTCGTGCACGAATGGATGTCTCCGTTTCCTTTCCATGAGGAGATTTCAGGGGGCGACTCGAGATTTCCCTTCCCCTCCGCAGACGTGGCCTTAGCAAGGAGATCTGGGGTTCTGCTTCCCCCACCCAGGAAATTCAAGGAGGAAAATTCAGGATCTCGGCTGCCTTAGAGACATGCATTGCAGTAGAACAGGGTCTCTGTGACATTGAAATTTGCTTTTTCAAAGAGAACGGGCAGAACTCCTTGCTAAATCAAGGAGCCAGGCGCCTAGGAGAGGAAGAGAAAACCTCTTCCCTTCCGGAGTTGCAGGAGTGAACTCTCTGTGGGCGGGGGGGGTGTCGCCCGCGTGATTGGTAGTTCTAGTCGCGTCACTCCCCCCGGCTGGCCAATCGGAGTGGCCGGGGGGCGTGGCTGCTTGCCTTTTAAACAGGGATGGAAGTTTTTTATTTTTTATCTTTTGGTGTGGGGGAAGTGTTTTCTCTCTTTTTACTTGTGATTTTTTTATCTTCATAAAAAAGTATTAAATAATAATAATAATAATAATAATAATAATAATAATAATAATAATAATAATAATAATAATAATAATAATGATGGAATAATAAAGTATTATTGTTTGGTGGCTGATACATATTCCTCATAAAAACAGAGAACACATGGCTTTTTGGGGGGGAAATTTCAGTGCTGATGCTCTGAGCATTTGTCTCTGATGCTTCATTTGATCCGTGCTGCAGTGAGGGTTCTCCTCTTAATCTGGTGTGCACCTGGCGATATTAATCAGGCCAGCAACCTCTTGGGACAGCCCCACGGTTGTCACGGCAGACATGAATTCCTGAGCCGCCACCCCCAGAGCCAGTCGCCTCAACATGGAGGTTGAAGCCCCCCAGATGCAGCAGTCTGGGAGCCCCCAACTCTGCCCCCAAGACTGGCTCTGCCACTCTGCCAGGGGGACTGCTGGGAAGCGAGGCAGGCGGGAAACCAGCAGAATCCCAAATCTGTCCTGATTACTCAGTGCCAGGATCAAACACTCTAGATCCCCATTCAGCTGGAGAGAGAAAGAGAATCTCTATACAGTGGTACCTCAGGTTACATGCACTTCAGGTTACAGACTCCGCTAACCCAGAAATAGGGACGCAGGTGGCGCTGTGGGTTAAACCACAGAGCCTAGGACTTGCCAATCAGAAGGTCGGCGGTTCGAATCCCCACGATGGGGTGAGCTCCCGTTGCTCGGTCCCTGCTCCTGCCAACCTAGCAGTTCGAAAGCACGTCAAAGTGCAAGTAGATAAATAGGTACTGCTCCAGCAGGCAGGTAAACGGCGTTTCCATGCGCTGCTCTGGTTCGCCAGAAGCGGCTTAGTCATGCTGGCCACATGACCCAGAAGCTGCACGCCGGCTCCCTCGGCCAATAAAGCGAAATGAGCGCCACAACCCCAGAGTCGGTCAGGACTGGACCTAACCCAGAAATATTACCTCAGGTTAAGAGAACAGAACAAATATTACTCAGGATGAGAACAGAAATCGTGCTCCAGTGGCGCGGCGGGAGCAGGAGGCCCTATTAACTAAAGTGGTGCTTCAGATTAAGAACAGTTTCAGGTTAAATATGGACCTCCGGAACGAATTAAGTACTTAACCCGAGGTACCACTGTAGACCACAGTACCCCCCCCCCCCGGCTGGCTCTCAAGTCTGCCCCGATGCTGCACCAACTCCACCATCTTTACCCATAAGGCCTCAGGAATAGACTAGACCAGCCTGCTCATCCACAGTCAAGTCATGGAGGAGAGGAACTTTATTCACAGCCAACCTGGCAGGAACCACAGCAGAGAGGAGATCAGTTCCTCCGACTGGAAGGGCTGGCACACAGCACCTTCACCATTTTCCCTCTGTGTGTGCCATTTATCCTTTTTTCCCTGTCTCCCACACCATACTTCCCTTTGAACAGGGCAGGAGATCCGTGGAGTTGGAGATGTGCAGTCCGGAGCGGAAGAAAGGGCTGAAATGTCACCGGGGACAGAGCACAGCATCCTGCTCAATGAAACCTCCTGGTGCAGAGGCAGTCTACCTCTGAATAAGCTGAAGATGTGGAGGTGAACAACAGGAAAGGGCTTTTGGTCTCAATCCCTACGTCTCACCAACTTTAAAAGGGTGTGTAAGCCAGTGGCCAAAACCACATGTGTGAAGGTCTTTCTCTAGTGAATCACCAAAACCTGTGATCCTTTTTATCTCTAGGAAATAGAGGGCACTCCTATATCTATACAAGAGTAAGTTCAAAGGGACTTCTCCCAGGGAACTGGGCACAGGGCTGTAGGCTCAATTTCCTCTTTGCACCACAGAGCTCAGAAGAGATTAGAAAGATGTGCTGCCTTCCCTTCTTCCAATTTCAGAATTGCCTTTCAGGTGACTATGATAAAAATGTGGAATTAAAATGCCTCTCCCTGTTTTTATGCCCCATCTGTTTGACGGTGGTTGCAATGCTTCTGTTGAAAATGGGATGGGGAACTATTGCAATCGGCATTCATTGAGTTTCTCTCCTTCCATTTGCCCACAACTGTCTCTGTGTTGAAAAGTAGGGTGTCAATAGGGTACCTGCTCTCTCACTGACCTGGCAGATATGGCTGAGACTCACTTCTCTCCTGGTGGTGGGATTCCCACAAATAAAGGGATGGGCAGACTTCTGACTTGAGGGATTTGCTTTCATTTCTAATCCGAATGCTGAGATCCAGAAATGGAACCAGGTGCAAAATACGAGCTTATGCAGGGAAGCCCCTGAAATCTGCCCCTCACCCAAACTGGATTGACTCCTCCTGCAGACATTCAGGGTCAATACAGGAAGGCCTGAAGAGAAGCTACAACATATAGAGGAGCTGTGCAGGGAGGGCTTTCAAGCAAATCTCTGAAGGGACCCTTGTTAAGATTTCACATTCTGAGTGCCCAGTGTATTGGGCTTGGGATGCCAAGGCCCAGGTTCAAACCTATTTGACCATAAACTTGAACGTTTCTCCTTTTTCTAAGTCTCTCAGCTCAGCCTCTTCTACCTCACAGGGTTCCTCTGAGGATAAAACAGGATATCACCCTCCTAAAATCCCTGGAGGAAGTGTCATGGGGAATGGATATTATACTGTTGAGTTTGAAACACCACAGGAGTAAAAAGAAGTACAATCTTTAATAGAATCAAACACGTTAGCACATGAAACATATCCCCAAATTCTTTCAGGCCTGTTATGCAAAAGGATAAGAGGAGGGGATCTCTAAAAATACTGGTAAGTATCTGACTGTTCACTACAAAGCATCTTGGAGAAAATAATTGTATACATGGGAATTTACCACCCGCTCCTTAAATCCTCTAGATTGTCACTGTTCTCCCTTCAGAACTCCTGACAGAGGCTCTTCACCGTCAGAGGGGATTTTGTTACACTGAGGCCCAAAACCTGCAGAGGGGTTACAGCTCTGGGGTCAGCATGCAAAGGCAATATTGTGCAAGTCAGGAAGACCCCCAAAAATGCTCCCCAAGCAACCAACCCTACTTGTTCCAAGCCAGAGATCTTGAGAGCTTTATGCAACCTTCCTAGATGCCGGGAACCAAGGTGGAGTTAGAAACTCTTTCCACCACTGCCAAAGCCCCCCCCCCCCCGCTTTCTGGGCTCTTGACTCTTGGGAGATATTAAACAGTCCTTTCCAATAGTTTTTCCTGGTCTCTCAACCTCTTTCTATTTATTAATTTGTGGTTTGATGAAGGGCTCCAGGCTGCGATCACCCAAGTCAACTTTTGGGCGGACTGTACTGAAACTAGCAAACAGATGCCCTTCAATATGGAGATTTTGCTGAATTGCCACCTAAGCTTCCCTGAGGAGTAGCAAAAAAAGAGAGGGATTTTGGAACTTCCTTCTCCATGGCCAGTGGAAGTCTTGGGGGAGGAAAGGGAATCTTAGAGCAGGATTGAGGGAGGCTGAGGAAGGTTTTAAGTGAGGCCCATGCATCATTCTGATTTTATTCCGAAAAGATGATGGTATTGTCTCTTAGAGTTGGGGGTTGGAGAGAGAACTACATTGAAACAGGAATGTGTGTAGGGTTAGTTTTTTCCTAAATTTGGAGATTGACAGGGGACCCAATCTGGTTTATAGAAATATTAAGTCAGAGTTGGAAGTTGAAGAGAGAACTACATCAAAAGAGGAATGTGATTAGGGTTGCTGTTGTTTCCTAAATTCTTTTCTTGCACCTCGTGCACCGACAGAAGTAGCTGATTGCCAAGGGAGAGAGAACAGGCAGGTTTGGGGACTGACAGGGGATCAAATCAATCAGTGTCATTTACAAAGCTGGCCTGAGAAGGGAGAGTTGCATCATGATTGACACAAGGGATGGCCAATCACAGTTCTGCAAATATGGTTTCTCAAGTGCCTGTCGGCTCAGTCCAGAAGTGGTGACTGAATATGTCACGTTGTCCATGAATATGCACTTCTCTGTCTGCACCTTCAGTCAAGAGAGTCTCAGGTTCCCTTTCTTACTCACGTAAAAAAAGGGCTGGAGGTTCTCTCCAGATAAGGAGGCTGCTGAGAATGAATGGAGAAGGGCTGCTGTATCAGCATCGAAAAAGGACACCCGTCCCGCTTCACAGTTCAGGGTCACTCGGATCCTCTTGGGCTCCTCACTTGGAACAAAGACCTCATGGGGGAAGAAGTACTGGTACTCACCTTCCATCTTCCCCAAACCCCAGATCCCTTCCGTAGGCCAACCGTTCCTCTTCACAAACTTTATGGCAACGCCCACCCCCCATTTCTCCTCTCTTCCCACAATGACTTCCCAGAAATGTCTGCCTGATGTGAAACCCTCACATCCCAGCACATAGCCACATGTGTCAAATCTTTCAGGATTGTCTGGCAGGTTTTGACACTCTTCTCCTTCTCTCACACTTTTTCGATCCTCTGACAGGATGAGGAGGGGATTTGCTGTGTCTGGATCCAAAGTTATGTTTTCTATGAAGACAAATGAGGAAAGAGAAGAGAAATGACGTCAAGTGGGAAACTGACTTTTCTTTAGGTACATGACAGAAATAGCATCCCCTCTGAAATGAACAGGGACTCCATGGCTCTGCATTCAAGACAGGGATGTTCACCAAGTTCTTATTGATGATTCTTGAAACATTTGCAGTTCTTTCAAGTGTTCAAAGCACTTAGCACACTATCTACACAGAACCCTTGCAACTTCTCTGTAAGTCAAGTCAATCTTAGCATGCCCATTTTTCAGATGGGAGGACTGAGGCTCAGAGACGGTGGCTTGTCTAAGGTCACCCCCACAGTTCATGGCAGAAGGGAGTCAAGGCAGGGACTCCCTAATTCACACCTTAATCTTTTATCTCACATCACATGGCAGACCATGCTGGACATGCCAGGTAAAACTGAGAGCAGGTGCTCTCAGCCTCCTTGAAACCACCATTCATGTTTCAGTTACATATTTAATGTTATGTTATAGCTCATCCTTCCAGGTAGTTTATAAAAAGCAAGAAAGTGGTTAGGCTGCCCCGAACCCCCTGTGTGAAATATCTGTCTTGGGATTCTTGACAGCGCATCATAGAGTTGGAAGCGACCCAAGGGGTCCTCTAGACCAGTGTTTCCCAACCTTTTTTGGGCAAAGGCACACTTGTTTCATGAAAAAAATCTCGAGGCACACCACCATTACAGCCCCGTGACGTCAGCGTGCAGCGTCACGCCGGGAGGGACGCACGAAAGTGTAAGATTCAATTTTCCCCCCTCCCCCTTGCCTTCCTTCTGTGCCAACCGCCAAAAAGCCAAGAATCGCGGGACCGCTGGCGGAGGGGGGGAGGGCGAGCGGAGGCAGCGGTGAGCCCCGTTCCTCCCCATCCGCCCCATTCCGTGCAAGGAGCGCGAACAGGTGTGAGAAGGGGGTCAAACCTGCGGGTCGGCGCCGGGGAACCTCGAAGCTTTGGGGGTGGGGGGGAGGAGGCAGCAAAGCGAGGCAGGAAGGAGAGCGCGGCTTGGCGAAGTACTCGGCGGCGAAGGCCAGCAGGTCCGGCGGCCGGTGCCGCAGCACCTCCACCGTGTAGCCCTGCAGCAGCTCAGTCAGACCCGGCGGGATCTCGATGCTCATCTTGTAGCCGAGGCGCGCGGGAGACTCAACGGACGGGCCCGGGAGAGAGAGAGAGACACGACGGAGAGAGAGCGGGAGTCCCTGCTCGCCGTCGCCACCGCTACAACTACTGTGGCGGTTGGTTGTGGTCGCCGCCGCTGCCGCCCACCTCTATCTATCTCTCCCCCTCAGCTTTCTACGCGGGCCTCGAGCCGGAGGTGGGGGGTGGCCGCCGCCGCTTTCTCCGCCTCCACGTCCTGCCTCCTCCTCCTCGAGCCCTCCGTCAGCCCTGAGGGAACCGCCGCGCTCGCGCCGCCGCTCTCTGACACGCGAGAAAGAGAAAGGAACGGAGCGGCGGGGTAGTCGGGGGAAGGAGGGGCCAGAATGGAAGCGCGAGGCGAGCTGCGCATGCCCAGCAGGAAGCGGCGGAGAGCGCCACAGAGAGAGAGAAGCAAGGGAGGGCGGGGAGTGGGCGGGAACACGCTTCATGCGTAACAATAACGGACAAGAGGCGCTCGAGGGATAGATTAGGACCTAATTTGACTTTTACAAAAAAAAATAAATCTTTCGAATTTTCCCCACGGCACACCAGGCAACATCTCGCGGCACACTAGTGTGCCGCGGAACAGTGGTTGGGAAACACTGCTCTAGACCAACCCCTGCAATACAGTAACCCCAACTAAAGCGTTCGCGACAGGCCCCCCCCCAACCTAAGAACCTCCAAGGAAGGAGAGCCCACCACCTTCTGAGGGACTCCCTTCCATGTTCTGCAGTGTGGGCCTTTGGTCTGTTTCCCCCAGGCAAACTATGAGCAGTCAGCCAAGAACAAACTCAATTATCTTTTGTGGTTTGGTTAGAGCGATGCAGAAAATGGATAGTTCTATCTTTTAAATTGACAGTTATTACATCGTTTATATGAATGTCTTTCTTTTTCTATGAATTGTGTTAATGCATTTATTGTTGCAATCCCAAGATAAAGGTCCACACACACACACACACCACTTGAAAAAAATAATGAAATAACTTTTTTATTTTAAAAAGATATATGTAACTTTACTATAGCCAAAACCAATAAAACCTAGGAAGTGCCATTCGCACCTGTCACCTTCAATGCAAAGACCCCATCCTGGTTCTTCAGACCTGATCGGCTATATGATTCATCTTTTTCTTCACTATTCCTCACATTTATGGGGAAAGTGGGCAGGGGAAGTATCAGGAGAAGCCCATTTAAAAATTGGTCAGGCTGGTGGACGTTAGGAAGAAGATCTGCTCTGCAGTCCTCTCACCACGTTATGGAAAGTTTGTCAAGCAATTTCTTTTTACAGACACACATTTGTACAGCAGCCTTTGGAGATTAAGTGTGATGTTGGATGTTGCCAATGCTGCTATTAGTCTTTTTTGTTGTTGTTAAATGTAAGGGGTTTTTCTAGTTTATTGTCTTGATTAGCCTTTATGTATTTTACTCACTGCTGTTGTCTAAACGATTCCCAGAATATAATTTTAAAGATAAGTAAGAGTTTCCTTTATGCTGCCATCTGCTGCACCTTTTCCAGTTCTTATGATTCCCTTTTTGTGGTGTCCAGGATCAGGCCAGACTGAACTTCTGTCTTCCCATTGGGCTTTTTTCCCTGGTCTGTGGTGCAATTCTGCCCTGCTCTTTTAAGTTTACATAAGTTTCTCTAGTTTAAGCAGAGAAGTCATGTCTCCCCTCCAACACAAAGGCTGAGGGAAGACCCCCAATTTTGCAGGGAAGCCGGCCCACTGGAGTTCACACTCAGGCAGCCCCCACCTCCCTCCACTGACACCAGAACCCGTTTAATTTCTCGCGCCCAAAGGTTGTTGCGACCATTTTCTGAGCTATTTGTGTTCATGCATTTCCCACTCTTACACCTTACTCTTACATAAAAGGGGTGGAGATTTTGTATTACTCAAAGGGATATTTCCCCCTCATGTGCCGGGAGCCTTTGGCTTCACACCACCCCTGTGTCTTATTGAGATTTGGCACAGAAAAGCCAGGCATCCTGGGCTGGGGGCTTCCTAAGAGTCTGCAGGATCAGGCCAAGAGCCCCTCTAGCCCAGCATGCTGCTCTCACGGAACAGAGGCCTCTGGGAAATAAGGGGAAATAAGGCATGGAAGGAAGGGCTGCAGTGGCCTGGTCTTTTGAGAAGTGGATCCCATCTCTCCCGAATTTTACCTTGGAAAATGGCTGGGGAAACCGAGCCAGATGGGCAGGGTATAAATAATAAATTATTATTATTTTTAAATGTACCTTTTCGCAGCTGAAGTTCATATTCCACAGTGTCTGGAAGAGAAAAGGGAACAGAGATTTAGCATCACACTTTCATTCAGATAACAAACCTGGAAAGAACAATAGGAGCTCATGAGATTGTATTGTGTACTACAAGTCCCATCATCCATAACCATTGGCCATGCCAGCTGAAGATATTGGGAATTGCAGTTAAAGCTATCTGAAGCTCTCCATACTGGCTATCCCTGCATAACCCTGGCAGGCGTGATGTCAAGGTTCAGGCCTGCCCAAATCTGGGAGGAGGAGCAGGACCCCCAGAAGATCTCCCCATCAACAACAAGGTCCAGAAATCCCTGTTCCAGGATGGGAGACCTCAACCCCAGTCTCCTCTGCTCCTGGCTGGCTCTGTGACAGTCGCCCTCCCTCCTGCACCCCTTACATCAATCTCAGGGCCAAAGGAACAGGAGAAATGCCCAAAAAGTGAGATGTGTGAAAGCACCCAAAGCCTGAAAAAGAATAAATAAATAAAACCTCCATTTTCCTGGCAGTGCTAATAATTTGGTGTCTATCATTAACACTTCCAAACATCCAGCTCACAATCTGATGAGCCCATCTTTACTACCTCTGAATTTCTTCATGACACTTTCCAGGAAGGGATTTATATCTCTGAAGTCCCAGATCCTCCACTTCAGAGCAGGAGGAAAAGCCACAGGAGGATCCTCTAAGTTCTCCTTCTCCTGAGACCTGGGAGGAGAAGAACAAAGTCAAGTCAACATCCTTCCAATGCAAGGAGCTTTCTGACAAGGCAGGTGTCTCATCCTGATAATAAAGGCATGATGGCTATATATCCTGAAGACTTGGGAGCAGGGTTTTTCCAGTGGCAAAAATGAGCATCTAGATGGTGTGTGGATCCAGAGCAGGGGTCGGCAAGCTTACCGGACGATGGTCCGATCCACGATCCGTCTGTTGGAGGATGGGCCGGAGCGTGTGCGCACACGCGTTCTTCTGGGTTGGAGGAGTGCCAGTGCACATGCACACACGCTATTTTCAGTGCTCCTCTGACCCGGATGTGCGCCGGAAATGGCATGTATGCATGCGCACGGGCACTTCTCCGTCCCACACGCATGTGCACACACTATTTCCGACGCACATCCGGGTCGGAGGAGCGCCCTTGCACATGCGCACAGGCGCCATCAACCCGGAAGTTGGTTCCCACGCCGCACCAGTAAGATCGGGCTGTGGGGGGTGACAGGGGTCATCATGGGCCAGATAGATGAGCCCCGGGGGCTGCTACTGGCCCAGGGGTCTTAGGTTGGCGACCCCTGATCTAGAGAGAACCTAACAAGCTGAAGGAAAACCGACACACACCTTCTTATGAAATATACTGAAGAAATCTTGGAATATGAGACTGAAAGGGAAAGAAGCTGATATATGGAAATTATTTTTTTGAAGAAAATCGAACTATACTGGGTCCTTACGCAGAGATTTTAGGACTACACCCGTTTTAGTCAAGCAGTTCACATGATGAATGAGCAACATAAAATAGAACTGGGTTGCGCCTTTCTGAAACATAAGGAAGTTCAGAATGCTTTAGAATGGGTTTTACAATTAACATTATAAAGGGTTAGGCACCTGGTTAGTCATTGTGAAAACAGGATTCTGGACTAGATGGGATGTCCCCGCTTTTTGTATCAACTGCAGAGTAAATGAATGCATCACAGAGAAGGGCCTTCAGAAATATGCAATGGAAATGGCTTCCTGCCTGTGATTGTAGATGGAACCAACAGATACAAATGACAACAAAAACATGTCCCTGTTTTTGACTGTGATTTTGTGAAATGGAACTGTTAAACAGGAACTTTCCAAGAATCAGAGTAGGCCAGGGGTTTCCAGTTGCTTACCTCTGTAAGAGGTTTCCAATATCCTGGAAGGAAAGGAAAGGAAAGGGGAAGAAAGATGTCAGTGGACCCAGTTCTACACAGAGCACTGTGATCAGATTGTTGTTGTTGTTGTCAATCTTGTATACCACCCTATACCTGCAGGTCTCTGTGCTGTTCACAAGATAAAATCACAATACGAAAACATAAAATACATAATAAAAACAAAACAAGAGCAACCAAATAATCGAAACTGTCTTCAGAGGCAGCCTCGTGTACAACCCCCAAGCCATGTACCCACTCCGTCAGAGGAAGCGTAACCCCATCAAAAGCAGCCCATCTCCCACCCATCTAGGGATCCTTCCACTAATAGTTCCTCAGTCTTATCTGGATTGAGCTGCAGTTTGTTGGCTCTCATCCAGTCCATTGTGGAGACAAGACAACGGTCCAGCACTACCACTGCCTCATCTGAAGGTGTAAAGGAGAATCACCAGCGTATTGCAGAAAACGGGCTCCAAACATCAGGATGACCCCAATCAGTTAACAATACTAAGCAGCTGAGTTCCCCTTGCAGGGAAACAGAGGGGGGCAGAGTGCTGCTGGTTGTTTAGGCTTCTCAGAGACCTCTGGTTGGCCAATGAGAGAGCACAATGCTACAATGAAGGGGCCTGTGGTTTGATCTAGCAGGGCCCCTTCTGCGACCCCAGGACTGACGCCTTTCACCCTTCATATACTGTTTTCATTCCAGCAACATTTTTATGTGACTAAGAAAAGTCTGTAGTCTGAAGCAGCACGCTCCACTCTCTCACATCAGGATGAGGCCTCACCTGCAGGAGTTCAGTCGCTGGTTCCTGAAGCTTCTCCTCCATCTCCCGGATGAGGCTGTCAAGAGAGGAGAGTTCCCTGGAGAGTCTGGCCAGGTGCTCCTCCCTTTGGGCTGCAATCTCCTTCTCCACTTCTGCCATCTGGGCCAGAATACGTTTCTCTTGTTCTTCCAGAAACTGGTGCATTCGCCTGAACTCAGCCACCATCTTTTCCCTCTCTGCACCTGTTTGTTTCTGCAGCAAAGAGGTTGAAAGAAGAGAACAGTGGGCCAAAATCAGGCATCTAGTCTGCTCTTGCAGGATGAAGAGGTCAGTTATCCCAATTCCCTTGTAAGGCCACTTCTGACATATTCAGCAGAGAAAGAACTCCGTAAAAACTTACAAGCCCACCCCCTCCTTTAAATGGTCTTTCATGCTCTGTGGGAGATCAGACCATTAAAAAAGAAACCTCTTTCTGTATTCCATATTCACCCCCCCCCCCCCAGATATTGATTCTAGACTATACCATTTTTTCATCTTAAAGCAGTAACAATGGTGCTTACAAGCAGGTCTTGGCTTTCCTTTTCTGTGTCTGCTTTAAATACTAGAATTTTCTCTCTCTCCTTCCTCACATTGTCTAGGCAGCTGCTGATCTGATCCTGAAAAGAAAACAAAATCCAAGTTGGGCTGCGTTACACATTAACAGGCAAGCTGAATCGTATGTTTGCTCTCTGCCCCACATCCCTGGGTCTTTTGCAGAGGCTCCCCCTTTTCATCCCAGATGAGGCAGAAATGGGGCTGCCCTATATCAGAGCTGAGAAACATGGGGGTTTTGCTACTTGTCCCCCACACTGAACACACCTCCAACATCTCCCCCCTCCTTTTTATTTAATTAATCCTCGATGTTTAATCTTTCCTCCCAGGGGAGTTACTGCAGCCTGCATTCAGGCGGTGCACTTTAATCCCTCAAAAAGAAAAATGTTGATTGTATAAAGTTTCAGAAGTTTAGTCTTATCAGGCTGCACAAGATCTCTTGCTGGAGGATTCCTTTTGGGCTGCAAGAGGAGAGAATACATTACAACATTTTATTTTTATTTTTTATTTTGCAAGCCCCTCTTGTCTGAAGCTATTCCACCCCCCAAGAAAGAACCGCTACCTTTTCCTACCTTGTACTCCTGGGACGCCTCCTCTAGAGGAATCACTTCGTGGCTTTTGTGCTCCTTAGATACATAACACACGACACAGATGGGGCTTTGGTCCTCCTTGCAGAAGAGCTTCAGCGGCTCCTGGTGCTTCTCGCAGACCCTTCCTTTTCCTTCTCCCTCCTCTTTCTCCTGCGGATGGTTGAATTTCTTGGCTATTTCCACAAAATTTGCCAGCTGCTGGTTTCGTGTGATGCTGCTTTGCTCCACCCTTTCCCTGCACTGAGGGCAAGAAGCCTCTCCCTCGGATTTCTCCCAATACTGGATCAGGCAGGTTCGGCAGAAGTTGTGCCCACATTCATGAATGATCACTGGATCCCTGAAATAATCCAGGCAAATGGAGCAAGTGGTTCCCTCGCGGAGATCCCGGACGGGACCCCGAGTGGCAGCCATGGCGGAGTCACCAGGAAGGGAGGGAGGAAGAGAGCTGGTTTCGTTTTCTCTCTTTTCCGTCTGCAAATGGGCGTGTTTCCTTTCCAGGAAATTCAGCTGCGATCACTCAGGATCTCTGCTGCCTTGGAGTTGGGTGGAGCTCTGAGCCGCTTTGATATGGTGGAAATATAGAGTTTTATATATTTTATTTTAAAAGTTTTATTTTAAACGGAATGCTCATTCTTGGTGGCTGCTCTTTTAAGGAACCATTTCCCTGCGAGAGCTGGTGGAGTTTATTGTTGTTGTCGTTTAACTATCAGCATGTCAGCCTCAGACTACTTTGCAAGCTGATGAATGAACTGCCTTCCCCCTCCCCCGCCTTGCTCCATTGACATCTTCTTTCTAGTTAGCAGCCCCCACATACAGAGGAGGAACAGCCCAGCCCTCCATCCCGGTGCCAGTTTTTAGTGAGTCGGACTGACAGAATTGTCGCGTCTGATAATGTGCAATAACCTCTGGACTCAGCTAAATGGTATCCAGATATTTGCCAGTCACTGCCGGGCACCTATTAACAGGGGGTACTTTCAATTAAACCTGTTTTCTCAATGAATGCAGCCCTTTGTCAGTGAAACATCACTTTGTTATGAGAATTTTAAGGTCTCAAATATAGAATTAATATTCATAAATGCACACGTATCTAAATACTGTATATGAACCATGTGACTGAAATAATACGGTAGAGCAACCCTGAAGCCATTTTGACTCTCCCAATGACCTCAAATATTCCTCTGCGGTAAGGGAGGCAAATGGGGAAAGCCTTACCATTGACTTTTTGCTTGCAAATCCTGTTTTAAGGGCATATTTGTGTATGAATAGGGTGAGCCTCTGACCTGGACTCAGGAACTAAAGTATTAACCATCACAAATAAATGGCCTGGCTGCCCTTTCTTGTTTCCAACTTCAAGCTTCAAATGGGGTGGGCTGATGTAATCTCAACAAAATCCCTCTTTCCTCTCCATCCTCCCCGCTAAACCAATGAATCTTCCTGCAGTCCAGGTGAATTTTTAAGCTGCTCTTCAGGTCCAGCTTCCTCCATTTTTTCCCCATCCACTGATCCCATCTCCAGTCAGTCCATCCTCTCAGAAAAATTAACATTAACTATTGTGTACTGAGGGGACGCAGGTGGCGCTGTGGGTTAAAGCCTCAGCACCTAGGACTTGCCGATCGAAAGGTCGGCGGTTCGAATCCCTGCGGCGGGGTGCGCTCCTGTCGTTTGGTCCCAGCGCCTGCCAACCTAGCAGTTCGAAAGCACCCCCGGGTGCAAGTAGATAAATAGGGACCGCTTACTAGCGGGAAGGTAAACGGTGTTTCCGTGTGCGGCTCTGGCTCGCCAGAGCAGCGATGTCACGCTGGCCACGTGACCCGGAAGTGTCTCCGGACAGCACTGGCTCCCGGCCTATAGAGTGAGATGAGCGCACAACCCTAGAGTCTGGCAAGACTGGCCCGTACGGGCAGGGGTACCTTTACCTTTTATTGTGTACTGAGTTGAATAGGATTCAAAATGCTGCAGTCTGATTGGTCCTAGAACAATAGGATTCAGAATGCAGCAGTCTGATTGGTCCTAGAACAATGCAGCAGTATGATTGGTCCTCAGGATCCACCCAATCCAGCTCCAGATGGAAGTGAATCCGCAACCTGATTGGCCTACAGGAGAATCCCAGAAATAACCAATCACGTGTGGCCCATTGGGTAAATAATGTATATAAAGCAGATATTTTGGGGGTACTTTCATTCCTCACTACTTTGAGTGGAATAAAGAGCATGAAATCCACACTCGACTCCGAGTATATTTCATTAACCATGGAATCTTTTATCTTTCTTTTTTATTTTTTAGTGTGGGGGAAGAGTTCTCACTCTTTTTACTTGTGATACTTTTTATCTTTATCTACTGCTAAATGATTATTGTTTGGTGGCTGACACATTCCTCATAAAATTCTTTACAAATCACACTTTTAAAACATTTTCAGTGTTGATGCTCTGAACATTTTCCTCTGATGTATCATTTGATCCATGCTGAAGTGAGGGTCCCCTTCTTCATTTGGGTCTATGTTCAAGTGTAAAAATGAAGACAAAAAAATTGAGGCTATTGCAAATCCACCCAAATCTGTTTTCAGTTTCATATTCTGAATCCTTGTGGATTATGATTCCTGCTGCCTGTATGTTGACATTTTGCAGAAGGGTCTGTAACTGAATAAAAGGCTGAGGGGACAGTTCTGAAAACTTTTGGGGGTGGATGTTCTGGGAGGAAACCAAAAAAGCAGCATGAGCAACAGTTTATCCCAATGTAACACTAACTTTTTTGTTGTTTTCATTAAGCCTATATTAATGAGGATTATGATGATAACTGTAACCTGCACAGCTTGAGAGTACTATACCAGGGCAGATGGGCATCACAAATTGGGAAAGGGAGAGGGATCCTGAGCTATCCAGATGTTCACAGATTGACCAGGGCTTCAACAGAAGTGCCAGTCATATCAGCCAGAAAATCCTCCAGAGCCACTTGGATCCGTCAATCTCTGAGGGTGGACCATTCTCATGGGTGCCCCACCTCTGCAGGGGGGAAACGGTGCTGGAAAAGCCTAATTTCAACAGGAAGTAATCTCACCATGACAACAGACTGAGGTCCATATCTCCCAGTTTCAGATCACTCTCTTCCTGCCCAAGCTCCAGTGTCACCAGCGATATTCATCAGCCCAACAGCATGTTGGGACAGCCCCACAGTTGTCAAGGCAGAACTGTTTCTGGGGCTGCTCAATGAAACCTCCTGGTGCAGAGGCAGTCTACCTCTGAATCAGCTGAAGCTGTGGAGGCGAGCAGGAAAGGGCTTTTGGTCTCAAACCCTTTGTCTCGCCAACTTTAAAAGGGTGTGTAAGCCAGTGGCCAGAACCACATGTGTGAAGAAGTCCTTTCTCTAGGCAATCACCAAAACCTAAGAGCTAATCCTGTCATCTCCGGAACTTATCCCAGGGAAGTGGGCACAGGGCTATAGGATCAATTTCCTCATTCTTCCACAGAGCTCAGAAGAGATTAGAAAGATGTGCTGTTTTCGCTTCCTCTTCCGAATTGAGAATTGCCATTTGGGTGACTATGATAAAAATGTTGAATTAAAATGCTTCTCCCTGCCTTTATGCCCCATCTGTTTGTCAACACAGGAAGGTCTGAAGAGAAGCTACAACACAGAGAGGAACTTTGCAGGAAGGGCTTTCAAGCACATCTCTGAAGGGACCCTTAATAAGATTTCACATTCTGAGTGAACAGTGTGTAGGACTTGGGATGACAAGGCCCAGGTTCGAATCCCCTTTGACCATAAACTTTAATGTGCCTCCTTTTTCTAAGTCTCTCAGCTCAGCCTCTTCTACCTCACAGGGTTTCTTGGAGGATAAAACAGATGTTATAAACAAAAACTGCTCCTTTCCCCCTCTGGGGTACCCAAGAGCCCATACAGAGTCCTTAAGTAGGCTCTCTATCAGTAGGAGAAAATAACCGAGGCCAACCAGAGAATATTGAGAAGCAAAGCAGCTTGTAAGCATGATCTTTATTAACTGTTGCAACAGGGGCCCCACTCACCACAAGCAAGAGAGAGGAGAACCCAGAGCAATGGTGCGCAAGCCCTTATATAGACCAGGGGTCTAACCGGCCCATGGTGACCTCTGCCGCCCCCCGCTGCCCACTCTTAACGGTGTGTCACAGGGCCCGAATTCTGGGTTGATGGCACCTGTGCGCCAGAAATAATGTGTGCGCATGCATGCTCCAACCCAGAAGAGTGTGTGTGTGCGCACACTCCAGCCCATTCTCTGACGGACGGAGCGTCGACTGGCCCATCGTCCGATAAGCTTGCCGACCCCTGATATAAACTTTTGAAATTGTCCACCCTGCAGCTCAAGACCACCCCCCAAAAAACATCATACATACATCACAGAAAGAGGCAGTCCCCAGAGGAAATACATGGGGGGGGCGGTCTACTGCAGAAATCCTGTCTGCCAGGAAACCTGATAATGGTCACTGGTTGCTCTGTTCTCTCCTCAAAAAGTCTGACAGAGGCTCTTCATTGTCAGAGGGGATTTTGTTACATTGAGGCCAGAAACCTATGTGGGGGTTACATTTCTGGGGTCAACATGCAAAGGCTATATAGCGTAAGTCAGGAAGACCCCCGAAAATGCCCCCCAAGCAACCATCCCTACATGTCCGAAGCCAGAGATCTTGAGAGCTTTATACAACTTTTCTGGAGGCTGGTGAGAAGGTGGACTTAGAAACTCTTCCCCCCACTGCCAAGGCCCCCCCCCCGGCCTTCTGGGCTCTGGAGACTCATCAGATCAACACAGGAGCAAGAAGAAGTACAATCTTTAATAGAATCAAACATGTTAGCACAGGAAACATATCCCCAAATTCTTCCAGACCCCTTATACAAAAGGATAAGAAGAGGGGATCTCTACAAATGCAGATAAGTATCTAACTGTTCACTACAAAGCACTTTGGAGAAAATAATTGTATACATAGGAATTGACCCCCCCCCCCTAAATCTTCCAGATTGTCACCGTTCTCTTTTCAGAACTTCTGACAGAGGCTCTTCACTGTCGGAGGGGATTTTGTTACATCGAGGCCCAAAACCTATGTGGGGATTACGTTTCTGGGGTCAGCATGCAAAGGGAAGATAGTGCAAGCCAGGAAGACCCCCCAAAATGCCCCCACTTGTCTGAAGCCAGAGATCTTGTCCTTTCTGGAGGCCGGTAAGCAAGGTGGACTTAGAAACTCTTCCCCCCCACTGCCAAAGGCCCTCCCCCCATTGCTTTCTGGGTTCTGGGGACTCTGGTGAGATATCACCCGGTCTCTTGCCCTCTCTTTCCATTTATTAATTTGTGTTTTGACGAAGGGCTCCAGGCTGCGATCACACAAGTAAGTTGTGTGTGAGTTTTGGGCCGACTGTACTCAACTAAAAAAAAACTGGTCTCTGATTTTTCCCTGAGTAGCAACAAAAAAAGGAATTTTGGAACTTCCATCTCCATGACAGTGGAGGCTTGGGGGGGAGGAAAAGGAATCTGAGAGCAGGATTGAGTCTGAGGAAGGTTTTAAGTGATGCCTGTGCAGAATTCTGATTTTATTCGGGAAAGATGATGGTATTGTCTCTAGAAATCTCAATTTGGAGGTAGTAGAGAGAACTACATCGAAACAGGAATGTGTGTGGGGTTGCTGTTGTTTCCTAAATTATTTTCTTGCTTCCTTCCCCCTTTGCACTTCCTGCATCGACAGAAGTAGCCGATTCCCAAGGGAGAGAGAACAGGCAAGTTTGGAGAGTGACAGGGGACCCAATCCATCAGTGTCATTTAGAAAGCTGGCCTGAGAAGGGAGAGTTGCATCATGATTGACACAAGGGATGACCAATCACAGCTCTGCAAATAAGGTTTCTTCTTAAGTGCCTGTCAGCTCAGTCCTGAAGAGGAGACTGAATATGTCATAATGGCAATGAATATACACTTGCCTGTCTGCACCCTCAGTCAAGAGAGTCTCATGTTCTCTTTCTTGCCCACGTAAAAAAAGGGCTGGAGGGTCTCTCCTGAGAAGGGGGCTGCCGGATATGTGTGGAGAAGGGCTGCTGTATCTGCATCGTAAAAGGACACCCGTCCCCCCTCACAGTTCAGGGTCACTCGGATCCTCTCAGGCTCCTCACATGGAACAGGGGCCTCATGGGGGAAGCATACCTTGTACACACCATCCCACTTCCCTAAACCCCAGATCCCTTCCCTAGTATCATAACAGAACTCACCCTTCCTCTTCACAGACTTTCTGGCCACCCCCACCCCCCATCCCTCCTCTCTTCCCACAGTGACTTCCCAGAAATGTCTGCCTTCCTTGAACGCCTCACATCCCAGCACATAGTCATATGTGTCAAATCTCTCAGGGTTGTCTGGCAGGTCTTGACAAACTTCTCCCCAACTCACACTCTTTCGATCCTCAGACAGGATGAGGCTGGGATGTGCTGTGTCTGGATCCAAAGTTATGTTTTCTGTGGGGGGCAGATTAGGAAAGAGAAGAGAAACGATGTCAACATGGAAGTTGGCTTTTCTTTAGCCACGTGACAGAAATAGCATCCCCTCTGAAATGAACAGGGACTCCAGGGCTCTGCATTCAAGACAGGGATGTTCATCAAGTTCTTAATAATGATTCTGGAAACACTTGCAGTTCTTTCCCTACCCCTACGGTTGTGATTCGTGGGTTTCCACTTAATTTTATTTTGATTTCATATGTGATTTTGAACTGTATTTTAACCAATCATGTGATTATGTGTTTTTAATGTATTCTATTTGGTGTTAGCCGCCCTGAGCCCAGTCTTGGCCGGGGATGGCAGGGTATAAATAAATATTATAATTATTATTATTATTCCAAGGGTTTGAAGTACTTAACACACATTACCTACATAGAACCCTTGCAAGAACCCTGTAAGTTAAGTCAATCTTAGCATGCCCATTTTTCAGATAGGAGGACTGAGGGTGACAATGGCGTGTCTAAGGCCACCCCCACCCCCACCATTCATGGCAGAAGGGAATCAAAGCAGGGACTCCCTAATTCACATCAATCTTTTACCTCACATCACATGCCAGACCATTCTTGACAGGCCAGGTAAAACTGGCAGCAGGTGCTCTCACCCTACTTGTAACCACCACTCAAGTTTTGGTTACATATTTGATGTAATTTGATAGCCCATCCTTCCAGATAGATTATCAAAAGATGAACAATACCCAAAAAGGTATTTCTGGGCTCTGATTGACACTCCCTGTCTAAAATGTCCTGCTTGGGATTCCTGAAGCAAGAACAAACATGATTATCTCTTGTGTTTGGTTAGAGTATTGCAGAAAATTGATAGTTCTGTCCTTTAAATTGACATCTATTACATAGTTGACATGAATGTCTTCTTTTTGCTATGACTTGTTTTAATGCATTTATTGTTGCAATCCCAAGACAAGGGGCCTTTATTAAAGCCAAACCCAGTAAAACCTAAGAAGTGCCATTCCCACCTGTCACCTTCAATGCAAAGATCCCATCCTGGCTCCACAGACCGGATTGGCTGTATGACTCACATTTATGGAGTGGAAGCATCATGAGAAATTCATTTAAAAATTGGTCATTTAATGTGTCAACATGAATAGAAGTTATAAGTATTGCAGCTGTTGTATAAGGGATTATGATTATGACTGGAATGTAATTGAAATCAGTAAGATTTTGGAACACAGAAATAAAGAAAATCATCAATTCTAGCACCTTAAATAAGTTATATAATTTGGTATTTGAATGATTTACATTAGAATTGTATAATAAATTGGTATTGTTATAACGATGCTATTATTATAATTGAATTTTTTTTTAAAAAAATAAAAATTGGTCAGGCTGATGGACATTAGAAAGAAGATCTGCTCCGCAGTCCTCCCCCCCCTCCTGCCACGTTAAGGAAAGTTAGTCAAGCGATTTCTTTTTAAAGACACACATTTGTACAGAGGCCTTTGGGAATTAAATGTGACGTTGGATGTTGCCAGTGCTAATAGTCAATTTTTTTTCTGTGAAGCGTAATGGGTTTTTCTAGTTCATTGTTGTATTTATAAGCCTTTATGCATTTTACTCACTGCTGGAATATTTAAAATTATATTCTGGGATTCTTTTAGACAAGTAAGAGTTCCCTTTATGCTGCCTTCTGCTGCACCTTTTCCAGCTCTTACGATTCCCTTTTTGTGGTGTCCAGGATCAGGCCGGACTGGACTTCTGTCTTCCCACTGAGCCTTTTTCCATGTTCTGTGGTGAAATACTGTCCTGCTCTTTTAAGTTTACTCAGGTTTCTCTAGTCCGCCATCATCTCATGTCTCCCTTTCAATACAAAAACTGAGGGAAGACCCCCATCTTGCAGGGAAGCCGGACCCCTGGAGTTCACACTCAGGCAGCCCCCAGCTCCCTCCACTGACACCAGAACCCATTCACCTTCTCACCCCCCCCAAAGGTTGTTGCAGCCATTTTCTGAGCTATTTGTGTTCGTGCATTTCCCACTCTTACACCTTACTCTCACATAAAAGGGGTGGGGATCTTGTATGGCTCAAAGGGATATTTCCCCCTCATGTGCCGGGAGCCTTTGGCTTCACACCACCCCTGTGTCTTATGGAGATTCAGCACAGAAAAGCCAGCCATCCTGGGCTGGGGGCTTCCTAAGAGTCTGCAGGATCAAGCCAAGAGCCCCTCTAGCCCAGCTAGCTGCTCTCACGGAACAGATGCCTCTGGGAAATAAGGGGAAATAAGGCATGGATGGAAGAGCTGCAGTGGGCTGGTCTTTTGAGAAGCAGATACCATCTCTCCTGAATTAGTGCCTGGGGAAATAGCTGGGAAAACCCAGCCAGATGGTCGGGGTATAAATAATAAATTATTATTATGATTAAAAGTACCTTTTTGCAGCTGAAGTTCATATTCCACAGTGTCTGGAAGAGAAAAGGGAACAGAGATTTAGCATCACACTATCATTCAGATAACAAACCTGGCAACAATTAATATGAACTCATGAGCTTGTAGCCAGGTGTTGTGGACTACAAGTCCCATCCTCCCTAACCACTGGCCACGCCGGCTGGAGATTATGGGAGCTGGCCATACTGGCTATCCCTGTATGAACAGGGCAGGGGTGATATCATGGTTCAGACCTGCCCAAATCTTGGGAGGAGGAGCAGGACCCCCAGAAGATCTCCCCATCAGCAACAAGATCCAGACAGCCTGTTCCAGGATGGGAGGCCTCAACCCCAGTCCCCCCTGCTCCTGGCTGGCTCCTGGACAGCCCCCCTCCTTCCCTCCTTCTGCCCCCGTTACATCAATCTCAGGGGCAAAGGAACAGAGGAGATGCCCAAAAAGCTGTAGGTGAGGCTACCTGGGAAATGGGTGAGATGCGTGAAAGCACCCAAAGCCTGGCTCAGAGATGTGAAGAGGTCAAGGACAACTTTTTACAGACAACTCGCAACTTAAGGGAGGGTTACATTCCTGGAGATTGTGTATAAAGGCAAATAGAGCAAAGTCAGAACGATACCCGGATTCACCCCTGCCATCTGAGATCTCAAGACGGCCCCATGAGATTTCGCAGGAGCCTCCCAGAGCCCAGTAAAGTCTTAAATGTGATTTGCGTGGTGGCTAAACGCTTCATGGCAAGAGCTTTCAAGCCCTTTACCTTGCTAACTGGAATCTGGGAGGCTCCACCAAGATCTCGCAAGAAGGGTTGACCCTCCTCTTTCAATTGCACAAGAAAAATCAGTTGTGAGTCATCTACATAGGAAAGTGTGGCTTCTAGATATTGAAAGAGAATAAATCTTCCATTTTCCTGGCACTGCTAATGACCTGGAGCATTTCATGAGCAATTTTAAATGTCCAGTATAAAATATTTTCAGCCCTTCTTTACTACCTCTGAATTTTTCCATGACTCCCTCCAGGAAGGGATTAATATCACAGAAGTCCCAGATCTTCCACTTCAGGGCAGGAGGAAAAGCCACAGGAGGATCCTCTAAGTTCTCCTTCTCCTGAGACCTGGGAGGAGAAGAACAAAGTCAAGCCTCCATTCTTCCAATGCAAGGAGCTTTCTGACAAGGCAGGGGTCTCTTCCTGATGATAAAGGCATGATAGATATATCATGAAGACTTGGGAGCAGGGTTTTCCTATGGCAAGAATGAGCATTTTGTTGATGTGTGGATCTAGAGAACACCCAACAAGTTGTAGGAAAACTAAAATATACTGAAGAAAACAGGAATATGAGATTGAAGGTAAAAAAGCTGATATATGCAAAAAAAATTGAAGAAAAGTGAGCAATACTGGGCCTTTGCACAGAGATTTTAGGACTAACCCAGTTTTAGTGAAGCTTTAATGAGGAGAACAAAATAGATTTGGTATATGCATTTCTGAATTATAAGGAAGTGCAGGATGATTTAGAATGGTTTTTGCCATTAAAATTACAGTTGTACTTCAGTTTATGAACTATTAATGAACTATTCGGTTTACAAACTCTGCAAAAACGGAAGTAGTGTTCCGGTTTGCGAACTTTACCTCGATCTACAAACGGAATCGGAATGGTGGAAGGGCACCAGCGGTGGGAGACCTCATTACTGAAAGCATGCCTTGGTTTAAGAACAGCTTTGGTTTAAGAACGGACTTCAGGAATGGATTAAGTTCATAAACTGAGGTACTACTGTATAAATGTATTTTAGCACAGTGGTTATATTGAGAAATGGGAAAAATATTGGAAATTAAAGCAATATTTTTTAAACATGGAAGATTTTCAAAATTCATGAGTTTTTGAAGTTGTCTGGAGGACAAGGCTCTCAGAGGCTACTCTTCACCACGGCTGGGCCAAAGGCAGTGGTGCCTCTGAAACCACAGGAGGGGAGCGTCCTCTGGGGCTCAGATCCTGCTCACGAGTTTTGCACTGGCATCTGGTTAGTCACTGTGAAAACAGGATGCTGGACTAAATGGACCACTGGCCGGATCCAGCAGGGCCCTTTCTCATGTTCTTATGTCTGGGGAAGAACCTGCAGAAACCCGAAATATATCAAATATTTAAGGGTAAGTAATAGTGAAGCCCCTTTGGAATGTCCCCTCGTTTTGTATCAATTGCAGAGTAAATGAATCCATCATGGAAAAGGGAGAAATATGTAACAGAGGGGAATGAGGAATGGCTTCCTTCCTATGATTGTAGATGAGACTAATAGCTAGGAAAATGTTTCCCTGTTTTTGTCTGTGATCTTGTTAAATGGGTGATGGAGTCCTAAGCTATTTCTGGAAGGAGAAAGTGGAGAGCGATTTTCTCACCCGTTAACAGGAACTTTCCTAGCATAATAATAAGGCAAGGGTTTCCCATCACTTACCTCTGCAAGAAGCTTCCAATATCCTGGAAGGAAACAAAGAAAGATGTCAGCCATTTCTGCAGTCAGTTATAAATACTAAGCAGCTGAGTGGCAACTGATGGGAATCACAGGTTTGGAGAGCAGTACTGTTTTTTAGGCTTCTCAGAGACCTCTGGTTGGCCAGTGAGAGAACACAATGCTAGAATGAAGGGGCCTGTGGTTTGATCTAGAAGGGCCCCTTTTGCGACCCCAGGACTGACGCCTTTCACCCTTCATGTACCAATTCTTTTCCTTGCAGCAGCTTTTTGGGGGGCGGGGGCTAAGACATGTTATCCTCCTGCTTGTACTATGAAGCAGCACCCTCCACCCTCTCGCATCAGGATGAGGCCTCACCTGCAGGAGTTCACTCGCTGGTTCCTGAAGCTTCTCCTCCATCTCCCAAATGAGGCTGTCAAGAGAGGAGAGTTCCCTGGAGAGTCTGGCCAGGTGCTCCTCCCTTTTGGTTGCAATCTCCTTCTCCACTTCTGCCATCTGAGCCAAAAGAAGTTTCTCTTGTTCTTCCAGAAACTGGCGCAGTCGCCTGAACTCAGCCACCATCTTTTCCCTCTCTGCACCTGTTTGTTTCTGCAGCAAAGAGGTTGAAAGAAGAGAACAGTGGGCCAAAATCAGGCATCTAGTCTGCTCTTGCAGGATGAAGAGGCAAGTTATCCAAATTCCCTTGGAAGGCCACTTCTGACATATTCAGCAGAGAAAGAGCTTCGTAAAAACTTACAAGCCCACTCCCTCCTTTAAATGGTCTTTCATGCCCTGTGGGAGATAAGGCTGTTCAAAAATAAACCTCTTTCTGTATTCCATATTTCTCCCCCCCCCCCAATATTGATTCTAGACTATAGCATTTTTCATCATAAAGCAGTAACAATGGTGCTTACAAGCAGGTCTTGGCTTTCCTTTTCTGTGTTTGCTTTAAATACTAGAATTTTCTCTCTCTCCTTCCTCACATTGTCTAGGCAGCTGCTGATCTGATCCTGAAAAGAAAAGAAAATCCATTACACATTAGCAGGGAAGCTGAATCGTATGTTTGCTCCCCGCCCCACATCCCTGGGTCTTTTGCAGAGGTTCCCCTTTTTCATCCCAGATGAGGCAGAAATGGGGCTGCCCTATATCAGAGCTGAGAAACATGGGGGTTTTGCTATTTGTCCCCCCCACTGAACACACCTCCAACATCTTCCCCCTCCTCTTTATTAAATTAATCCTAGATGTTGTAATCTTTTGTCCCAGGGGAGTTACTGCAGCCTGCATTCAGGGGGTCATTGGGCACACTTGAAATCCCTCAAATAGAAAAATAAATATTTATTATTTATAGTTTCAGAAGTTAAGTCTTATCAGGCTACAAAAGATTCTTGCTCTACAACTCCTTTGGGGCTGCAAGTGGAGAGAATACATTACAAGATTTATTTATTTTTTTGCAAGCCCCTCTTGTCTGCAACTATTCCACTCCCAATAAAGACCCACTGCCTTTTCCTACCTTGTACTCCTGGGACGCCTCTTCTAGAGGAATCACCTCGTGGCCCTTGTGCTCTTTGGATCTGTCACACACGACACAGATGGGGCTTTGGTCCTCCTTGCAGAAGAGCTTCAAGGGCTCTTGGTGCTTCTCGCAGACTTTTCCTTCTGCCTCCTTTTTCCCGCCCAGATGGCTGAATTTCTTAATTATTTCCACAACATTTGCCAGCTGCTGGTTTCGCCTGATGCTGCTTTGCTCCACCCTTTCCCTGCACTGAGGGCAGGAAGCCTCTCCCTCGGATTTCTCCCAGCACTGGGTCAGGCAGGATCGGCAGAAGTTGTGCCCGCATTCATGAATGATCACTGGATCCCTGAAATACTCAAGGCAAATGGAACAAGTGGCTTCCTCGCGGAGATCCCGGACGGGACCCTCAAAAGCAGCCATGGCGGAGTCACCAGGAAGAAAGAGTTGGTTTCGTTTTCTCTCTTTTCCGTCTGCAAATGGGCGTGCTTCCTTTCCAGGAAATTCAGCTGCGATCACTCAGGATCTCTGCTGCCTTGGAGTTGGGTGGAGCTCTGAGCCGCTTTGATATGGTGGAAATATATAGTTTTATATATTTTATTTTAAAAGTTTTATTTTAAACGGAATGCTCATTCTTGGTGGCTGCTCTTTTAAGGAACCATTTCCTTGCGAGAGCTGGTGGAGTTTATTGTTGTTGTCGTTTAACTATCAGCATGTCAGCCTCAGACTACTTTGCAAGCTGATGAATGAATTTCCGCTCCGCCCCCCACGCCTTCCTCCATTCACACTCATCTATCTAGTTAGCAGCCCCCACATACAGAGGAGAAACAGCCCAGCCCTCCATCCCGGTGCCAGTTTTTAGTGAGTCGGACTGACAGAATTGTCGCGTCTGATAATGTGAAATAACCTCTGGACTCAGCTAAATGGTATCCAGATATTTGCCAGTCACTGCCGGGCACCTATTAACAGGGGGTACTTTCAATTGGGACGCGGGTGGCACTGTGGGTAAAAGCCTCAGCGCCCAGGGCTTGCTGATCGAAAGGTCGGCGGTTCGAATCCCCGTGGCGGGGTGCGCTCCTGTCGTTCGGTCCCAGCGCCTGCCAACCTAGCAGTTCGAAAGCACCCCCGGGTGCAAGTAGATAAATAGGGACCGCTTACTGGCGGGAAGGTAAACGGCGTTTCTGTGTGCTGTGCTGGCTCGCCAGATGCAGCTTTGTCACACTGGCCACGTGACCCAGAAGTGTCTCCGGACAGCGCTGGCCCCCGGCCTCTTGAGTGAGATGGGCGCACAACCCCAGAGTCTGTCAAGACTGGCCCGTACGGGCAGGGGTACCTTTACCTTTACCTTTTTACTTTCAATTAAACCTGTTTTCTCCATGAATGCAGCCCTTTGTCAGTGAAACATCACTTTGTTATAAGAATTTTAAGCTCTGAAATGTAGAATAAACACACATAAATGCACACATATCTCATTATATGAGCCAAGTGTCTGAAATAGTATGGGAGAGCAATCCTGAAGCCATTTTGACTCCCCCAATGACCCCAAATATTCCTCTGAAGTAAGGGAGGAAAATGGGGAAAGCCTTACCATTGACTTTTTGCTTGCAAATCCTGTTTTAAGGGCATATTTGTGTATGAATAGGGTGAGACTGTGACCTGGACTCAGGAACTAAAGTATTAACCATCACCAAAGAATGGCCAGGCTGCCCTTTCTTGTTTCCAACTTCAAGCTTCAAAGGGGGGGTGATGTAATCTCAAATAAAATCCCTGTTTCCTCTCCATCCTCTCCTCTAAATTAATCCTCCTGCAGTCCAGGTGAAGTTTTAAGCTGCTCTTCAGGTCCAGCTTCCTCCATTTTTCCCCCATCCACTGATCCCATCTCCAGTCAGTCCATCCTCTCAGAAAAATTAACATTAACCATGGAACCTTTTGTCTCTCTTTTTTATTTTTTGGTGTGGGGAAAGAGTTCTCACTCTTTTCACTTGTGATACTTTTTATCTTTATATACTGCTGAATTATTCTTGTTCGGTGGTTGACACATTCCTCATAAAATTCTTTACAAGTCACACTTTTAAAAAAATTTCAGTGTTGATGTTGATGTTGATGCGCTGAACATTTTTCTCTGACGTTTCATTTGATCCATGCTGAAGTGAGGGTCCCCTTCTTAATTTGGGTCTATGTTCAAGTGTAAAAATGAAGGCAAAACAATTGAGGCTATTGCAAATCCACCAAAATCTCTTTTCAGTTTCATAATCTGGATCCTTGTGGATTATGATTCCTGCTGTCTGTGTGTTGACATTTTGCAGAAGGGTCTCTAACTGAATAAAAGGCTGAGGGGACAGTTCTGAAAACTTTTTGGGGTGGATGTTCTGGGAAGAAACCAAAAAGTAGCATGAGCAGCAGTTTATCCCAATGTACACACTAACCACAAGGACAAATGGGCATCACAAAGTGGGAGAGGGATTGTGAAGGATATAAATAATAAATATTATTATTATTATTATTATTATTATTATTATTACGTATATCCTGAGCTATCTGGATGTTTGACCAGATGTTAGACCAGGGCTTCAACAGAAGTGCCAGTCATATCAGCCAGAAAATCCTCCAGAGCCACTTGGATCCATCAACATCTGAGGGTGGACTATTCTCATGGGTGTCTCTCAACTCTGCAGAGGGGAAAAGGGGCAGGAAAAGCCTAATTTCAACAGGAATTTAGCATCCTGCTCAATGAAACCTCCGGGCGCAGAGGCAGTCTACCTCTGAATAAGCTGAAGCTGTGGAGGTGAACAACAGGAAAGGGCTTTTGGTCTCAAACCCTCCTTTGTTTCATGGCCTTTAAGAGGGTGTGTAAGTCAGTGGTCTGTGTGAGGAACTCCTTTCTCTAGGCCAGGCATGTCCAACTCCCAAGAGACTGCGATCTACTCCCAGTATAAAACAATTGGCAATGATCTACCCATTGTCATGGGGGGGGGGGGGAGAGAACCAAGCTTTTTTAAGGGGAGGACACAGTTGTTGAGCATTTTTTAGATGTAGGCCCTGTTAACGGAAAATACCAAGGGCTCTCTTGGACAAAGGAAGACACCGACCAGAGCAATTCAGAGCAAAACAGCAGCCAGTAGGCTTGGTCTTTATTAAAAAAAAGACTGTCGCGACAGGACTCCCACCGCCCACGAGGTGAAGCAAGATGGAAGCCCCGAACAAAGGGAGACCCTAACTTTTATTAGTTGCTAATCCCCTAAGATACACCCTCAGAATTACATCATATTTACATCACGATTATATTAAAAATAGGAGGAGTCGGGGAGGGGCTGCACAGGTAACCCGAGTGTCCTGACACCTGGCCGGAGCCTCCTTCCCCCTCCCTGCATGAGTCATGTACGAAAACAAAGGAAAAGGACGAAGTTTCCTGCCCCCTGAGGGGAATCCGGTCACAGTCCTTTGTGAGAGTCCGCGCGGAATACACCAAGATATGCAGTTCATTGTGTCCTTGATAGCCTTCTGTCTGAGCCCATCACCGATGGCTATCAAGGTGGTCACGTCTACTAGGAAGGAACACAGAGTACGTGACTGCTCGGTCAAGGGATTATGGCCGCTTGATATCAGACCACCCCCCTTTGATAGTCTTTGTAATATCCAGCAGAATAAAAGTGGTCCGGTGAAAATCCGAAGTACGGCTGATTTTTAGTTAATTTATAAAGAATATTGTCTTTGAAGTTCAAAGCACTTTCGCCTTCAGGAAGCGGCTTGCTACATTTTGATTAGATCAGTCACGGTCAATTGAACTCGGAAACTTTGTATTGAGAGCTGTCAAAGGTAAGGGGGAGAGCGGTAGTAGCCTGCAGTACCCGCGTGGCCGCCGCAAGGGGCGCTGTTCGATAATGCTGATTGGCTGAGGCGGGCGCCGATTGACAGCAGAGTTCGGTCGGCCGGTCTACTCACAATAAAAATAGGGCTATGCGGAGCGCTATAGCGGGAAGCTGTCAAGCTAGCGCTTCCTTATTTACGGAAGGCTTTTAGGGATGGCCCTCTAAAGGGACATTTCCAGGGTCAGGAAGGGGGAGATGTGTGCATGTGTGAGTGTGGTGCTTGTGTAACACGTGTAAGGTGAGATGGGGGGGGTTTCCGGCGACAGCCCCATCTGTTTGGCACTGGCTGCTTCTGTTGAAAATGGGGCAAGGAACTATTGTAACTGGCATTCTTTTCGCCCCCCCTCCATTTCCCCACAACTGTCTGTGTGTTAAAAAGTAGGGTGTCAATAGGATACCTGCTCTCTCACTGACCTGACAGATACGGCTGAGACTCACTTCTCTCCTGGTTGTGGGATTCCCCCCAAAAAAGGGATGGGCAGACTTCAGACTTGGGGGATTTGCTTTCATTTCTAAAATGAATGCTGAGATCAAGAAATGGACCCAGGTGCGAAATACAAGCTTATGCAGGGAAGCCCCTGAAATCTGCCCCTCACTCAAACTGAATTGACTCCTCCTGCAGACATTCAGGGTCAACACAGGAAGGTCTGAAGAGGAGCTACAACATAGAGAGGAACTTTGCAGGGAGGGCTTTCAAGCACATCTCTGAAGGGACCCTTGTTAAGATTTCACACTTTGAGTGCGGAGTGTGTAGGACTTGGGATGACAAGGCCCAGGTTCAAATCCCTTTTGACCATAAACTTTTAACCTGTCTCCTTTTTCTAAGTCTCTCAGCTCAGCCTCTTCTACCTCACAGGGTTTCTCTGAGGATAAAACAGGATATCACCCTCCTAAAACCCCTGGAGGAAGTGTCATGAGGAATGGATATTATACTGTTGAGTTCCAAACAACACAGGAGCAACAAGAATCAACAATCTTTAGTAGAATCAAACATGTTAGCACAGGAAACATATCCCCAAATTATTTCAGGCCCGTTATACAAAAGGATAAGAAGAGGGGATCTCTACAAGTACAGATAAGTATATAACTGTTCACTGCAAAACACCTTGGAGAAAATAATTGTATACATGGGAATTTACCAATCCCCCCAAAATCCTCTAGATTGTCACTGTTCTCTCCTCAGAACTCCTGACAGAGGCTCTTCACTGTGAGAGGGATTTTGTTACATCAACGCCAGAAACCTTCATGGGGGTTACACTCCTGGGGTCAGCATGCAAAGGCAATGTTGCATAAATCAGGAAGGCCCCCCCAAAAAAATGCCCCACAAGCAACCATCCCTACTTCTTTGAAGCCAGATATTGAGGGCTTTATGCAACCTTTCTAGAGGCTGTTAAGCAAGGTGGACTTAGAAACGCTTTCTCCCACTGCCAAAGCCCCCCCCCCCCAATTGCTTTCTTTTTTTATATAAATAATTTTTATTAACAGGCCAATCAAATCACATTAATTCCAAATCACATTAGTTCCAAATTATACAGCCAAATATTTAAAATGTTATTGGGGGTACCCATACTTCGCGCTCCGAAAGGGATCCAAACATCACTCTTGCTACGGCTTTAATTTCACAGTTATGTCCAATTCTGTCCAGATAGTCTCTTTATTATTTTCCTCATCTTCTTGTTGTAATCATATATTCCTTTCTTTGTGATCTCTGATAATCTTCACAAGCGGGTTGGAAACAAACATATTCTGTGTGGATTTTACACTCTCCAAGAGTCATATCACATAGAGGACAGCCACCATTTCCACCCTCCATAAAAAACGTTCCTACAGTCTGTCCGCTGATTTCCACCGGCCTGCGAATCAGTATCTCAGGGGGCCCTGCCGGGTCAAATTCACATTCCGATTCACATTCCAATGACCACGGTCCTCCTCCCCCCGTCCTCCTGTGGGCAGGCCGTCTTGACGAATCTCCATTTTGAAACTGCGTCACAAAGCTTTCCTTCCATTCCCGATATTCCCACCAGTCCTCACTTTGATCAATAATTCATTTCCACACAGTTTTTAATCTCCAGCTTGTGATTAGTAGTTAGCAACGATCTTTCTCTCTGGGAGGGAGGATTATTGGGTACTCACATAAGACAAAAAAAAAAGTTTTTTCCTCCCCCCCCTTTCCGTTTCAGTCCAACATACTAGTCTTTTAATGATGGGTCTTCACTTGATTTATTGTCCACCCGTTGCTCCGCACACAGAGATCCCATTAATCAGCAGTCTTTACTCCTGATCTTCACTTGAAGTATGTGCATTTGCTTCTTTATCCAATTATATATTTCGAAGTAATGCAAACCAGTGCGCGATCAGAGACGGCGTCCGGGAGAGCGACCCTACCCGAGGGCTTTGTGCCAAGTGCCCTCATCCCCTTCTTTCGAATCCAGGGGTGCATTATGGACACAGCTGGCAAGGCAGTCCCCCCATCCCCTTGGGGGGGGTAAGGGAGGCTGCATACTCCCATATCAGCCTCTTAATTACCTTGTGTGGGTCGAGAGATGTTATTGTCGGCCATCTTCCAATGCACCCCCTGGTGGCCCCCCCAATTGCTTTCTGCGGTGTGGAGACTATTGTGAGATCTCACACAGTCCCTTTGAACAGTTTCCCCCAGTCTCTCGCCCTCTTTCTATTTATTAACTTATTTTCTGATGAAGGGCTCCAGGGTGTGATAATGCAAGTAAGTTGCCCATGAGTTTTGGGTTGGCTGTACCCAACTAGCAAACAGGCCTCTATGGATATGGAGATTTTGCTGCACTGCCACAAAAGCTTCCCTGAGTAGTATTTAAAAAAAGGGGGTGGGATTTTTGAACTTCCTTCTCCATGGCCAGTGGATGTCGTGGGGGAGGAAAGGGAATCTGAGAGCAGGATTGAGGCTGAGGAAGGTTTTAAGTGATGCCCTTGCATAATTCTGATTTTAGTCAGAAAAGATGATGGTATTGTCTCTAGAAATCTTAAGTCAGAGTTGGGGGTTGGAGAGAGAACTACATTGAAACAGGAATGTGTGTAGGGTTAGTTTTTTCCTAAGTTTGACAGAGGACCCAATCAATCAGTGTCATTTAAAAAGCTGGCCCAGGAACAGAGAGTTGCATCATGATTGACATAAGGGATGGCCAATCACAGTTCTGCAAATATGGTTTCTCAAGTCCCTGTCAGCTCAGTCCTGAAGAGGAGACTGAATACCTGTATGTCATAGTGGCAGTGAATATATGCTTGTCTGTCTGCACGCTGAGTATTACCTCTAGAAATCTTGAGTTGGAGGTAGGAGAGAGCTACATTGAAACAGGAATGTGTGTGGGGTTGCTGTTATTTGCTAAATTATTTTCTTGCTTCTTTCCCCCTTTGTACCTCCTGCACAGACAGAAATAGCTGATTCCCAAGGGAGAGAGTCAAATTTGGGGACTGACAGGGGACCCAATTAATCAATGTCATTTACGAAGCTGGCCCAGGAAGAGAGAGCTGCATCATGATTGACACAAGGGATGGCCAATCACAGTTCTGCAGATATGGTTTCTCAAGTGCTTGTTAGCTCAGTCCTAAAGAGCAGACTGAAACGAATACGCGCTTGTTTCTTTGCACCTTCAGTCAAGAGAGTCTCAGCTTCGCTTTCCTGCTTATGTAAAAGAAGGGCTGGAGGGTCTCTCCTGAGAAGGAGGTTGCTGGGAATGTGTAGAGGAGGACTGCTGTGTCTGCATCGTAAAAGGACACCCGTCCCCCTTCACAGTTCAGGGTCACTCGGATCCTCTTGGGCTCCTCACTTGGAACAGGGGCCTCAAGTGGGGTGTACCCACCGCCCCACTTCCTCAAACCCCAGATCCCGTCCGTAGGACCAAAAGAGAACTTGCCCTTCCTCTTCACAGACTTTATGGCAACCCCCACCCCCCAATGCTCCTCTCTTCCCACAATGACCTCCCAGAAATGTCTGCCTGCTGTGAAAACCTCACATCCCAGCACATAGGTATATCTGTCAAATCTCTCAGGGTTGTCTGGCAGGTCTTGACGCACTTCTCCCCAACTCACACTCTTTCCATCCTCAGACAGGATGAGGTAGGGATTTGCTGTGTCTGGATCCAAAGTTACGTTTTCTGTGGGGGGAAAGAGAAGAGAAACAACGTCAACTGGGAAGCTGATTTTCTTTAAGCACATGACAGAAATAGCATCCCCTCTGAAATGAACAGGGATGAAGATAGAGATGTACATCAAGTTCTTAATAATGATTCTTGAAACATTTGCAGTTCTTTCACGTGTTCAAAGTACAGTGGTACCTCGGGTTACAGACACTTGAGGTTACAGAGTCCTCTAACCGGGAAGTAGTACCTCGGGTTAAGAAATTTGCTTCAGGGTGAGAACAGAAATCGAACTCCGGTGGCAGCGGGAGACCCCATTAGCTAAAGTGGTACCTCAGGTTAAGAACGGACCTCCAGCACGAATTAAGTTCTTAACCCGAGGTACCACTGTACTTAACACACATTACCGTATTTTTCGCTCTATAACACGCAGTTTTTTCCTCCTAGAGAGTAAGGGGAAATGTCTGTGCGTGTTATGGAGCGAATGCCTACGGATGGCAGGGGAATCCGCTGCAGTTGTGAGCAGTCCGTGGCTCTCTTTGAAACTGCAAAGCGGGTGTAAGCGGCTCCTGTCAGCGAGCGGAGCCGGGGAGGAGGGAAAAAAGCAGAGCGGCGCTGGCTGTTTTAAAACAACCCCATGCTCTATGTCCCTCTCTCCTCACTGAGCTGCTAAGTAGCAGCAAAACGTTTCAGCCAGCCTAGCCGAGGAGGGAAAAAAGCAGAGCGGCGCTGGCTGCTTAAAAACAACCCGTGCTCTCTGTCCCTCTCTCCCCACTGAGCTGCTAAGTAGCAGCAAAACGTTTCAGCCAGCCTAGCCGAGGAGGGAAAAAAGCAGAGCGGCGCTGGCTGTTTTAAAACAACCCCGTGCTCTCTGTCCCTGCCTGCAGTTTTTTGCTGTCCGATTTTGGATCAGCCACTGTAGGGGCTGTGTGTGTGTGAGTGTGTGCTTGAGCTATCATTCTCCTCCTCCTGCTTCCTGTTCTCTCTCACAGCGCCCCAGCGCTCTCCTGCGACTTTAGGATTGATACTGTGTGTGTGTGTGTGATCGTTCTCCTTCTCTTGCTTCCCACTCCCAGCGCCCCTGCCTCTCCTGCGACTATAGGATTGATACTCCGTGTGTCTGTGTGTGTGAGAGGGATTGTTCTCCTCCTCCTGCTTCCTGTTCACTCCCCCAGCGCCCCTGCGACTTTAGGGCGACTTTAGCATGGATCCACATGGATCCTCAGGATTTTTGCATTGGGCTACCCCAAACTCACCGTCAGATCACATGTCTGTGGCCACAGCATGAACCACAAAAATCATACATCCACTGTTTTGTTTAGAATATTTTTTTCTTGTTTTCCTCCTTTAAAAACTACATGCGTGTTATGGTCTGGTGCGTGTTATAGAGCGAAAAATACGGTATCTACATAGAATCCTTGCAACGTTCTTGTAAGTTAAGTCAGTCTTACTATGCCCATTTTTCAAATGGGAGGACTGAGGCTGAGAGACAGTGGCCTGTCAAAGGCCACCCCCACTACCTACAGTTCATGGCAGAAGGGAGTCAAAGCAGGGACTCCTTAATTCACATCTTAATATTTTACCTCACATCACATGGCAGACCATGCTTGACATGCCAGGAGAATCTGGCAGCAGGTGCTCTCAGCCTCCTTGTAACCACCATTCAAGCTTCAGTTACATATTTGCCCTCTTTCTAACCACCATTCAAGTTTTAGTTAAATATTTAGTATTATGTTATACCTCACCCTACCCTACCTTCCTGTGAGTACCTGACATCCCGCTTGAGGGATTGTGCTGGGGACTGAGTGGTTTCCAAGTCCTTGGCCATTGAAGCAAATTGGGGGTGGAATGAAGGAAACTAGCAAAGGAGTTGATTTTATATGATTTTTAAAGCTAGGTAACTTCCCTGAGTTGTCAAGTCAAAAGGATACATTTATGCATCATATTTGTAACATTTAACAACTTTAAGGTATGCCCACCCGTAATTTCCGTAACACCATCGAGCCTTTCCCCCTGGTCTCTGGAGTAATTCTGCCCTGCTCTTTTGGACTTACTCAAGTTTCTCTAGTCTGCGATCATGTTGAAGCAGAGAAGCCATGTCTCCCCTCCAACACAAAAGCTGAGGGAAGACCCCCACCTTGCAGGGAAGCCGGACCCCTGAAATTCACACTCAGGCAGCCCCCAGCTCCCTCCACTGACACCAGAACCCATTCACCCTCTAGCCCCCAAAGGTTGTTGCAGCCATTTTCTGGGCTATTTGTGTTTATACACTGTTCTACCTTCCCCCCATTTCCCACTCTTACACCTTTCTCTTACATAAGCTCTCCTAAAAGGGGTAAGGATCTTGTATGGCTCAAAGGGATATTTCTCCCTCATGTGCCGGGAGCATTTGGCTTCACACCACCCCTGTGTCTTACTGAGATTGGGCACAGAAAAGCCAGCCATCCAGGGCTGGGGGCTTCCTAAGAGTCTGCAGGATCAGGCCAAGAGCCCCTGTAGCCCAGCAAGCTGCTCTCACGGAACAGATGCCTCTGGGAAATAAGGGGAAATAAGGCATGGAAGGAAGAGCTGCAGTGGCCTGGTCTTTAGAGAAGCAGATCCCCTCTCTCCCGAATTTCTGCCTCTGTTTGACCCGGAAATGTACCTTTTCGCAGCTGAAGTCCATATTCCACAGTGTCTGGGAGAGAAAAGGGAACAGACATTTAGCCTCAAATCATCATTCAGATAACAAACTTGGAATGAGCAATATGAGCTCATGAGATAGTAGCCAGGTGTTGTGGACTACAAGGCCCATCATCCCTAACAACTGGCCACACTGGCTGGAGATTATGGGAGTTGCTGTTAAAACTACACGTGGTACCTTGGGTTACATATGCTTCAGGTTACAGACTCCGCTAACCCAGAAATATTACCTTGGGTTAAGAACTTTGCTTCAGGATGAAAACAGAAATTATGCAATGGAGGGGCAGCGGCAGCAGGAGGCCCCATTGGCTAAAGTGGTGCTTCAGGTTAAGAACAGTTTCAGGTTAAGTACAGACCTCCGGAACGAATTAAGTTCTTAACCCAAGGTACCACTGTATCTGAAACTCACCATACTACTGTACATCATCTATATAAAAAAGTGTGGCTTCTAGATACTGAAAGAAAATAAATAAGCCTTATATTTTCCTGGCACTGCTAATGAGCTGGAGTCTTTCATGAACAATTTTAAATATCCAGCACAAAATATTTTCAGCCATTCTTTACTACCTCTCAATTTCTTCATGACACCCTTTAGGAAGGGATTAATATCTCTGAAGTCCCAGATCTTCCACTTCAGAGCAGGAGGAAAAGCCACAGGAGGATCCTCTAAGTTCTCCTTCTCCTGAGACCTGGGAGGAGAAGAACAAAGTCAAGCCACTGTCCTTCCAACGCAAGGAGCTTTCTGACAAGGCAGGTGTCTCATCCTGATAATAAAGGCATGATGAAGATTTGGGAGCAGGGTTTTTCCTATGGCAAAAGGGAACATCTAGATGATGTGTGAATCTAGAAAGCATAATGAAGACTTGGGAGTAGTTTTTCCTACGGCAAGAATGAGCATATTGTTGACATGTGGATTTAGAGAGCACCTAATGAGTTGAAGGAAAACCAAAAGACACCTGCTTCCAAAATATACAAGGAAATATATGAATATGAGATTGAAGGTAAAGAAGCTGATCTATGCAAATCATTTTTTCTGAAGAAAAGTGAGCAATACTGGGTCCTTACGCAGAGATTTTAGCACTACACCCATTTTAGTGATGCATTTCAAGTGATTAATGAGCAAAACAAAATAGATCTGGTATGTGCATTTCTGAAATATAAGGAAATTAAGAATGCTATAGAATGTATTTTAAATGCTTTTAAAATGTATTTTAGCACAGTGGTTACAATGAAAAATGGGACAAACATTGGTAATTAAAGCAATGATGTCTAAATGTGGAAGATTTTCAAAATTCATGAGTTTTTGAAGTTGTCTGGAGGACAAGGCTCTTAGAGGCTACTCTTCACCATGGCTGGGTCAAAGGCAGTGGCGCCTCTGAAACCACAGGAGGGGAGTGTCCTCGGGGGCCCGGATCCAGCTCTCAGGTTTTGCACTGGCATCTGGTTAGTCCCTGTGAAAACAGGATGCTGTACTAGATGGGCCACTGGCCGGATCCAGGAGGGCCATTTCTCACCTTCTTATGTCTGAGGAAGAACCTGCAGGAGCTTGAAATTAACTGGATATTTAAGGGTAAGTTAAGTGAAGATATTTACAAGCCCATTTGGAATGTCCCCCCTTTTGTATCAGTTGCAGAGTAAATGAATGCATAATTGAAAGGGGAGAAATATGTAACAGGGGGAAACGAGGAATGGCTTCCTTCCTATGATTGTAGATGAGACTAATAGGTAGGAAAATGTGTCCCTGTTTTTGTCTGTGATCTTGTGGAATGGGTGATGGAATCCTAAGCTATTTCTAGAAGGAGGAACTGGAGAGTGAGTTTCTCACCTATTAAACAGGAACTTTTGTGGCATCAGAATAAGGCAGGGGTTTTTCCATCACTTACCTCTGCACGAAGCTTCCAATATCCTGGAGGGAAAGAAAGAAAGAGGTCAGGGGAGCCATTTCTGCAGTCAGTTATAAATACTAAGCAGCTGAGTGGCAACTGCTGGGGATCACAGGTTTGGAGAGCACTACTGTTTTTTAGGCTTCTCAGAGACCTCTGGTTGGCCAGTGAGAGAACACAATGCTAGAATGAAGGGGCCTGTGGTTTGATCTAGCAGGGGCCCTTCTGCGACCCCAGGACTCAAGCCTTTCACCCTTCATGTACTGTTTTCCTTCTAGCAACATTTTTATGTGACTAAGAAATGCCTGTAGTCTGAAGCAGCACACTCCACCCTCTCACATCAGGATGAGGCCTCACCTGCAGGAGTTCACTCTCTGGTTCCTGAAGCTTCTCCTTCATCTCCCGGATGAGGCTGTCAAGAGAGGAGAGTTCCCTGGAGAGTCTGGCCAGGTGCTCCTCCCTTTGGGCTGCAATCTCCTTCTCCACTTCTGCCATCTGGGCCAGAATACGTTTCTCTTGTTCTTCCAGAAACTGGTGCAGTCGCCTGAACTCAGCCACCATCTTTTCCTTCTCTGCACCTGTTTGTTTCTGCAGCAAAGAGGTTGAAAGAAGAGAACAGTGGGCCAAAATCAGGCATCTAGTCTGCTCTTGAAGGATGAAGAGGCCAGTTATCCCAATTCCCTTGGAAGGCTACTTCTGACATATTCCGCAGAGAAAGAGCTTCAAAAAAACTTACAACCCCACCCCCTCCTTTAAATGGTCGTTCATGCTCTGTGGAAGATCAGACCATTCAAAAATAAACCTCTTTCTGTATCCCATATTCATTCCCCCCCCAGATATTGATTCTAGACTATACCATTTTTTCATCTTAAAGCAGTAACAATGGTTCTTACAAGCAGGTCTTGGCTTTCCTTTTCTGTGTTTGCTTTAAATACTAGAATTTTCTCTCTCTCCTTCCTCACATTGTCTAGGCAGCTGCTGATCTGATCCTGAAAAGAAAACAAAATCCAAGTTGGGCTGCGTTACACATTAACAGGCAAGCTGAATCCTATGTTTGCTCCCTGCCCCACATCCCTGGGTCTTTGGCAGAGGTTCCCCTTTTTCATCCCAGACAAGGCAGAAATGGGGCTGCCCTATATCAGAGCTGAGAAACATGGGGGTTTGCTATTTGTCCCCCACACTGAACACACCTCCAACATCTCCCCCCTCCTTTTTATTAAATTAACCCTAGATGTTGTAATCTTTGTCCCAGGGGAGTTACTGCAGCCTGCATTCGGGCGGTGCACTTTAATCTCTCAAAAAGAAAAATGTTGATTGTATAAAGTTTCAGAAGTTTAGTCTTATCAGGCTGCACAAGATCTCTTGCTGGAGGATTCCTTTTGGGCTGCAAGAGGAGAGAATACATTACAACATTTTATATTTATTTTTTATTTTGCAAGCTCTGCTTCTCAGCAGCTCTTACACCCCCAAGAAAGACCCACTGCCTTTTCCCACCTTGTACTCCTGGGACGCCTCCTCTAGAGGAACCACCTCGTGGCTTTTGTGCTCCTTGGATCTGTCACACACCACGCAGATGGGGCTTTGGTCCTCCTTGCAGAAGAGCTTCAGGGGCTCCTGGTGCTTCTCGCAGACCCTCCTCTTTCCTTCTTCCTGCTTTTCTTCTTGAAGACCGAGTTTCTCGGCTAGTATTCGCAAAGCACGTGTCACAACGCTCGATGTATCACTCTGCACAAAAGCTCTTGCTGGCGACTCCTGGTCCTTTCTCACAGACCCTTCCTTTTCCTTCTCTTCTCCTTGAGGATGGTTGAATTTCTTAATTATTTCCACAAAATTTGCCAGCTGCTGGTTTCTCCTGATGCTGCTTTGCTCCACCCTTTCCCTGCACTGAGGGCAGGAAGCCTCTCCCTCGGATTTCTCCCAGCACTGGGTCAGGCAGGCTCGGCAGAAGTTGTGCCCGCACTCCGGGATGATCACTGGATCCCTGAAATACTCCAGGCAGATGGAGCAAGTGGCTTCCTCGCAGAGATCTCGCACGGGACCCCCAGAAGCAGCCATGGCAGTCACCGGGAAGAGGGAGCTGCTTTCGTTTTCTCTCTTTTGCGTCTGCAAATGGGCGTGTTCCCTTTCCAGGAAATTCAGATGTGATTACTCAGGATCTCTGTTGCCTTGGAGATATTAAGCCATCCTTGGTGGCTGCTCGTTTAAAGAACCATTTCCCTGTGGGAGCTGGTGGAGTTTGGTTGTAGTTTTGTTGACTATCAGCACGTCAGGCTCAGACCACTTTGCAGGCTAATGAATGAATTGTCGCCCCCCTCCCCCGCCTTGCTCCATTCACAGCTGCTGCTGCTGCTTCTTCTTCTTCTTCTTCTTCTTCTTCTTCTTCTTCTTCTTCTTCTTCTTCTTCTTCTTCATTAAATTTATATACCACCGTATACCTGGAGGTCTCAGGGCGGTTCACAGAAAAAATCGCATGTATAAAAGAATAAAAACAAGAACGCAATAATATTTTAAAAGGGTATAGGATGTCAATCAGAATAACCAAAGGCCTGGTTAAAAAGGAACGTTTTTGCCTGGTGCCTAAACGTGTATAATGAAGGCGCCAGGCAAACTTCCGTGCTGGGGAGAGCATTCCACAGACACGGAGCCACTGCAGAGAAGGCCCTGTTCTCCAGTTGCCATAAGATGAATGCAGCCCTTTCTCTCTTTATTCAGAGAGGACATGAACCAAACAAGTGACTCCTTTGGGAAAGCTGCCTGGGGGAGGGACAAAAGGCGGGCTTCCTCTCCTGAGTGACCCAACAGCAAGCCAATCAGTGCTGTGTCGAAAGCTGGTCTGAGAAGGGAGAGTTGCACCAAGACTGACACAAGGGCTGGCCCATCTCTGTCCTGCACATAGGGCTTCTCCCTGGAGAGAAAGAAGGGCAGGAGGGTCTTCTCCTGAGAAGGTGGATGTAGGGAATGCATGGAGAAGGGCTGCTGGATCTGCATCGTGAAAGGACAGGTGAGAGTTCAGGGTCCCTCGGATCCTCTTGGGCTCCTCGCACAGGGACAGAGCAGAGGCATAAGGAGGAAGGAGGGGCCATACTCACCTTCCCATTTCCCCACCTCCCAAATCCCATCCTCAGGACAAGGAGCGAACTTGCCCTTCCTTCTCAAAGACTTCCTGCGCCCCCTACAGCCCAAGGCCCCTCACTCCCTACAGTGACCTCCCAGATATGTCTGCCCACTGTGATCCCCCCTTTCCCCAGCACATGGGGACGTGTGTGTCTAATCTCCCAGGATTGTTGGGGAGATCTGGATCCGCATCTCCATCTATCATACTCTCTTAATCCTCAGACAGGATGTGGCAGGATCCAAAGTTGTGTTTTCTGGGGGGCAGATGAGGAAAGAGGACAGAAACAGCAGGAGCTCAGAGATGAACTTTTCTTTAGACCCATGACAGAAATTTCATTCCCGCTCAATGCCCTGCGTTCGGGATGCTCCACAAGTTCTCAGTAATAATTCTTGAAACCACCTGTTCTTTCAAGTGTTCAAAGCACTTCAAGCACATTATCTGCACAGAATCCTTACATGGACCCTGTATGTTAAGTCACTTTTATCGTCCTCATTTTTCAAGCGGAAAGTCTGAGGCTGACAGAATACGAGGCCCCAGTTTCCAACTCCCCCCAGAACTGGCTCAGGCAAGCTCTGCAAAAGTTGTGCCCACAATTGGGGATGATCTCTGGATCCTTTGAATACTCCAGGCAGATGGCGCAAGTGTCTTCCTCGCAGAGGCCCTCATGGATGGGACCCCCAGTCAAAGCCATGGGGCGGTGTGTGTGTGTGTGTGTGTGTGTGTGTGTGTGTGTGTGTGTGTAGTTTAAATTTCACTCTCACTTTTGCCCATTCAAGAACTGGGGGAGTTTTCCTTTCCAGGAAATTGAAGCCGGTGACTCTGGTCTCTTCTGCCCCCGGCAGGTCTGAAGGTAGCTGGACTTCAGAGCCTCTTTCATGTGGATTTTAAAATTTTTAAGAATGGTAGTGCGAAAGAAGAAGAAGAATTTGGATTTGATATCCCACTTTATCACTACCCGAAGGAGTCTCAAAGCGGCAAACAATCTCCTTTCCCTTCCTCCCCCACAACAAACACTCTGTGAGGTGAGTGGGGCTGAGAGACTTCAGAGAAGTGTGACTGGCCCAAGGTCACCCAGCAGCTGCATGTGGAGGAGGAGGGAAGCGAACCCGGTTCACCAGATTACGAGACTACTGCTCTTAACCACTACACCACACCACACTGGCACTGGAAAGATGGGAAAAGGTCGCTTCTGAAGTCACATAGGATGAATGCTGGCGTATTATCAATCTGCTGTACAGCTCCTAGCTTTCCCCCACTGATCCCATCTACCACCTGCCCATGTGGAAGAGAACTTTTATTGAAAAAAACTTTTATTCTCTTTCCAAATTCTTTTTTATTGCGTGGTTCCATAAGAAAAAAAACAGACACACACAACTTACACTAAATTAAACATATAGTACAGATACAAACACACCCACATACGAAAAGAAACAAATACAAAAGAATACACAAATTTATAATTTTCACTTCAAACCAATCTCTTAACTATCCCTTTTGGACTTCCTTCAGCTTATCCGAAAATCATTCGAAGTAATCCATAAAGTTACGCATTCCCTAAGTTTTATTGTCATTATTCATATCTTTATCTCCTATTTACAATGTGCAATAGTTCATGTTTTGTCACAGCACATCTCTAAATCCCCTTAGCGTTGTTTGTCCCTCACTGATGTATTCCAGATAGTATACATATTTTTCCCAATCCTTAATGAACTTTTGGTCTCTTGCATACCTGATTTTCCCTGTCATTTTATCTAGTTCCGCGTAGTCTAATAACTTTGATCTCCACTCTTCTATCGTTGGCATTTCCTGCTGCTTCCACCTCTGGGCTAAGACTACCCTTGCTGCTGTAACCGCATAGTATACTAATCTATGATCTTCTTTTTTAATCTCCTGTCCCAGCAGTCCTAATAGGAAAATCTCTGATTTCTTTGTGAACGTATATTTTAAAATCCTCTTTAATTCGGTGTAGATTTTTTCCCCAAAACTGTTTCACTTTTCCACACTCCCACCACATGTGGTAGAAGGAGCCCTCTTTATCCTTGCATTTCCAGCACCTATTGTCCACTTTGTACATTTTTGACAATTTTGTAGGTGTTAAATACCACCTATAAAACATCTTCATGACATTTTCCTTTATCAATATAGAAGCTGTAAAGTTTAGCCCATCCTTCCAAAGTTTCTCCCAATCCTCAAATTGTATGGTATGGCCTATATCCCTTGCCCATCGAATCATCACCGGTTTGGTTACCTCGTCCCCCAAATTCCAGTTAAGCAACATCCTATACATCTTTGATATAATTTTCACTTCATTGTTTATTATCTCTATCTGGAATTTGGAGTCTTTATCTATGTAACCTCTTTCTCTAGTATCTTTTCTAAACATCTCATTTGCCTGATGATACTTTAGCCAGTCATATACATATTCCTTTACTTGCTCATATGGTTTTAGTTTCCATTTCTCATCTTCTTTAATTACTAGTTGACTATACGTTACCCAATTACTTCTCATATTAATCGTCTTTATGCTCTCTGCTTCCAGAGGCGACAGCCAATGTGGTGTTTTCGGTTCTAGCAGGTTTTTATACCTTTCCCATATTTCAATTAGTGGCCCTCTAAAGATGTGGTTTTCAAACCCCTTATGTACTTTCCTTTTATTCCGCCATAAGTAGGCGTGCCAACCGAATCTATTTTCGAAGCCCTCCAAATCGAGTAGCTCCTTATTTGCCAGCTTTACCCAGTCTTTTATCCAGCAAAGACATGTAGCTTCATAGTATAGCTTCAAATCTGGCAGGGCAAAACCTCCTCTTTCCTTTATGTCTGTTAATAATTTGAACTGAATTCTAGGTTTTTTGCCCTGCCAGATGTATCTTGAGAGTACTCTTTGCCATTCTTTAAAGATTCGGGTTCCCTTAATTATAGGTATGGTTTGAAATAGAAACATCAACCTTGGTAGGACATTCATCTTAATTGTATTAATTCTTCCCCAGAATGACAATTTCAACCTTCCCCATATTTCCAGGTCCTTTTTTATTCCCTTCCATGTCAGCTCATAATTGTTTTTGAACAAGTCTATGTTTTTAGGTGTTATCCAGATTCCTAAGTATTTGACTTTCTTAGTGACTTCTATCTGTGATTGTTGTTGTATTATTTCTATTACCCTTTGGTCCACGTTTTTACTTAAGATTTTTGTTTTTGTCTTATTTAATTTGAAGCCTGCTATCTCTCCGAACTGGTCAATTTCCTTTAGTATATGTTCTATTGCGATTGTTGGCTCTTCTGACATTATTACTACATCATCCGCAAAGGCTTTGGTCTTATACACATTCTGTCCAATTAACACCCCCTTTATATTTCTGTTTTGTCTTATTGAGTCCAGAAGAACTTCTAGCACTGTAATAAATAATAACGGGGAGAGTGGACAACCCTGCCTTGTTCCTTTTTTAATCTTTATCTCTTCTGTCACTATGTTGTTTATTATCAGTTTGGCTTTCTGCTCGGTATATATTGCTCTAACCCCGTTGAGGAAATCGTTTCCCACTTCCATATATTCCAAGTTTTTCAGCATGAAGTCCCAAGCCACATTATCGAAAGCCTTCTCGGCATCCACAAACATCATTATAACTTGTTTATCAATCCTCACCGATAAATATTCTAACATGTTAATTATATTTCTTGTGTTATCTCTTATCTGCCGACCTGGTAGAAATCCCGCCTGGTCCTTATGAATAATTTCTGATAACAATTTCTTTAACCTCCTCGCAAGGATTCCTGCAAATATTTTATAATCTGTGTTTAATAGTGAAATTGGTCTGTAATTTTTGACTTGGGTTGTGTCTGCTTCCTGTTTTGGGATGAGTGTGATATATGCCTCTTTCCACGACTCCGGAAATTCTCCTTTCTTTAAAATGTTGTTCATCGTCTCTGTCAGGGGGCCCATCAAAATAGGTTTCATCTCTTTATAATATCCTGCCGTGAAACCGTCAGGTCCTGGTGCTTTCCCCCTTTTTAAATCTTTAATTGCTTCTTCTATCTCCTCCTTCCCAATTGGGTTGTTCAGTCGTTGTTTTCCTTCCTTTGGGATTTTCTGTACCCTCTTGTCTTTCAGAAAGCTCTCTATCCTCCTTAATTTATTTTTCTCCTTATTATTATATAGACTCCTGTAGAAGTTTAGGAACTCCCTCCTAATTCCTTTTGGGTCAGTTACTTCTCCCCCCCCCACTATTATTTTATTTATTGCACCCTGTTCCTTTCTTTTTTTAATTTGCCAGGCGAGCCATTTGCCTGATTTATTTGAGAATTCAAAGTTGTTCTGTCTTAATCTTTTAATATTCCACTCCACCTCTCTATTTATTATTGTGGCAAATTGAGCTTGTAGGATTTTAATTCTTTCTTTTACCTTCTGGCAGTTGGGTTTCCGAACCATTTTTTGTTCATTTGTCATTATCTGCTTTAGAATTTCCTCTTTCCCTTTTTCTCTATTCCTATTCTTAATTGCATTCTGTTGTATAAAGTATCCTCTCATTACTGCCTTACTGGCGTCCCAAACAATGCTAGCTTTTGTTCCTTTATCGCAGTTTACCAGAAAGTATTCCTTCAGTTTTGCCTGGGCGTTCTCAATAGTTTTTTGGTCACCCATAAGATGGTCTTTTAATCTCCATCTGAAGGTTCCTGACTCTAAAGTTCCCAAGTCCATCTCTATTGGATTGTGATCCGAGATTACTCTCGGTCTTATTTCTATTGATTTAACCCTTGAACATAACTCCCTTGAGATCTATATCTGGTCTATGCGTGACATTGACTGGTGGGGATCGGAGTGGAAAGTGAATTGCTTATCCAATGGATGTCTGAGGCGCCATACATCTGTCAAGTTACAATTTTCCACCATTGAGAAGAAGGGTTTTGGTAACTTTCCTTCTGTACTTGATCCCTGCCTCAATCTGTCCATTTCTAGGGAGATCACCCCATTCATATCACCCATTAGGATAATCTTTTGATCCATATATTCTGATAACTTTTCCTCTAATTCTTTGAAGAAAACAGTCTTGTTGCTGTTTGGAGCATATACCCCCACTACCACCATCTTTTCTCCTTGCCAATTTAGTCGAACCCCTATCATCCTCCCCTCCTCATCTTTGAATAATGTTTTGGCTTCTATCTTATTTTTGATATACAGTACCACCCCTCTTTTCTTTCCCTTATCCAAAGATTCAAATTCATTTCCCAATCTTTTATTAATTAACACCTTTTTATGCCTTCTAGCTATATGCGTCTCTTGTAAACAGATGATGTCCAACTTTTTCTTTTTCAAAAATTGTTCAATTTTGTTCCTCTTTTTTTTGTCGTTCATCCCATTAATATTCCAGTTCCAAATTTTTAACCCCATTGTGCCTTGCCTTCACCTATGCTTTCCTTTTCTTTATAAATTCGCTTGTTCTTCCTCCTCTTCTTCCTCTACCTCTTCGTCTGATCCGCTCTCCCTTCTCCCCTCTCCCTCCCCTCCTTCAAACTTTTATTCTCATTATTTCTGAAAATTGAAGTTTCTTCATGGGCAGTATTTTATAACCTATTTCTTTTTTGTTTTTTTACTTGTTGTTTACCAGTACAGCATTATTGCACTCTTCAGTGGTTTATAGGCATTCCTAATAAATATGTGAAAATATTTTTAGATGTCAGGCGAAAACACTCCTCTTCAACCAGGCCTTTGGCTGATTAATACTCTACAGTGTACTAATGTGGGGTTTTTTTGGGGGGTGGGGCTATCCTGGATATAAACATGGTGTAGCAAGAGAGGTCAGCTCACTTCCCAAAAGGACACCTTTCCCCTTTCTTATTCTATAGAACTATTCCAATAAAGTTTTGAGAAATACTCAGGTTATGGGTGGCAGAGAGCCCCAAGCTTGAGCCTTCTAGGACTTGGGGGATTTGATTTCATTTTTAATCAGAATGCTGAGATCCAGAAATGGACCCAGGTGCAAAATACGAGCTTATGAAGGGAAGCCCCTGAAATCTGCCCCTCACTCAAACTAGATTGACTCCTCCTGCAGACATTCAGGGTCAACACAGGAAGGTCTGAAGAGGAGCTACAACATATAGAGGAGCTTTGCAGGGAGGGCTTTCGAGCATATCTCTGAAGGGACCCTTGTTAAGATTTCACATTCTGAGTGCACAGTGTGTTGGACTTGGGATGACAAGGTCCGGGTTCAAACCTATTTGACCATAAACTTTAACGTGTTTCCTTATTCTAAGTCTCTCAGCTCAGCCTCTTCTACCTCACAGGGTTCCTCTGAGGATAAAACAGGATATCACCCTCCTAAAATCCCTGGAGGAAGTGTCATGGGGAATGGATATTATACTGTTGAGTTTGAAACACCACAGGAGCAACAAGAAGTACAATCTTTAGTAGAATCAAACATGTTAGTGCATGAAACATATCCCCAAATTATTTTAGGCTCGTTATACAAAAAGATAAGAAGAGGGGATCTTTAAAAATACAGGTAAGTATCTGACTCTTCATTACAAACCACCTTGGTGAAAATAATTTTATACATGGGAATTTACCACATACACATAACCCAAAATTCTCAATGTTTGCCAATGTTTTCTCCTCAGAGCTTCTGACAGAGGCTCTTCACTGTCGAAGGGGATTTTGTTACCCAAAACCTGCAGAGGGGTTACGTCTCTGGGGTCAGCATGCAAAGGCAATATAGTGTGAGTCAGGAAGACCCCCCCCGAAAACGCCCACCAAGCAACCATACTGCTTGACTGAAGCCAGAATCTTGACCTTTCTAGAGGTCAGTAAGCAAGGTGGACTTAGAAACTCTTTCCACCATTGCCAAAGCCCCCCCCCCCATTGCTTTCTGGGCTCTGGAGACTATTGTAAGATCTCACACAGTCCCTTCCAACAGTTTTTCCTGGTCTTTCGCCCTCTTTCTATTTATTAATTTGTGTTTTGACAAAGGGTTCCAGGCTGAGATCACGCAAGTAAGTTGCGCATGAATTTTGGGCCGACTGTACTCAAACTAGCAAACAATCTTTGGATATGGAGATTTTGCTGAACTGCCACATAAGCTTCCCTGAGGAGTAGCAAAAAAATGGAATTTTGGAATTTCCATCTCCCTAGCCAGTGGAGAAATTGGGGGAGGAAAAGGGAATATGAGTTCAGGATTGAGGCTGAGGAAATGTTTTAAGTGATGCCCGTACATAATTCTGATTTTATTCAGAAAAGATGATGGTATTGTCTATAGAAAATGTGTCAGAATTGGAGGTTGGAGAGAGAACTACATCGAAACAGGAATGTGGGGAGGTTTGCTGTTGTCTCCTAAATTATTTTCTTGCTTCTTTTCTCCTTTTGCACCTCCTGCATCGACAGAAGTAGCCGATTCCCAAGGGAGAGAGAACAGGCAAGTTTGGGGACTGAAAGGCGACCCAATCCATCAGTGTCATTCACAAAACTGGCCTGAGAAGGGAGAGTTGCATCATGATTGACACAAGGGATGGCCAATCACAGTTCTGCAAATATGGTTTCTCCTGAAGTGCCTGTCAGCTCAGTCCTGAAGAGGAGACTCAATATGTCATGATGGCCATGAATATATGCTTGTCTTTCTGCACCTTCAGTCAAGAGAGTCTCAGGTTCGCTTTCTCGCTCACATAAAAGTAGGGCTGGAGGGTCTCTTCTGAAAAGCAGGCTGCCAGGAATGTGCAGAGGAGGGCTGCTGTGTCTGCATTGTAAAAGGACACCCGTCTCCCTTCACAGTTCAGGGCCACTCGGATCCTCTCAGGTTCCTCACGTGGAACAGGGGCCTCAAGGGGGGAGCAGAACTTGTACACACCGTCCCACTTCCCCAAACCCCAGATCCCTTCCGTAGTATTAAAATACAAAACGCCCTTCCTCTTCACAGACTTTCTGGCCACCCCCACCACCCACCCCTCCTCTTTTCCCACAGTGACCTCCCAGAAATGTCTGCCTGATGTGAAACCCTCACATCCCAGCAAATCGCCATCTGTGTCAAATCTCTCAGGGTTGTCTGGCAGGTCTTGACGCACTTCTCCCTCTCTCACACTCTTGCGATCCTCAGAGAGGATGAGCCAGGGATTTGCTGTGTCTGGATCCAAAGTTATGTTTTCTGTGGGGGCAGATGAAGAAAGAGAAGAGAAACGACGTCAACGGGGAAGCTGACTTTTCTTTAGGAACACGACAGAAACAGCATCCCCTTTGAAATGAACAGGGACTCCAGGGCTCTGCATTTGAGACAGGGATGTTCCTCAACTTCTTGAAACATTTGCAGATCTTTCAAGAGTTCAAAGCACTTAACACACATTACAGTGGTACCTCGGGTTAAGTACTTAATTCGTTTCGGAGGCCCATTCTTTACCTGAGGCACCACTTTAGCTAATGGGGCCTCCTGCTGCCGCCGGAGCACGATTTCTGTTCTCATCCTGAGGCAAAGTTCTTAACCTGAAGCACTATTTCTGTGTTAGCAGAGTCTGTAACCTGAAGCGTATGTAACCTGAAGCGCATGTAACCTAAGGTACCACTGTAGTAATAATAATAATAATAATAATAATAATAATAATAATAATAATAATAATTTGTACCTTTTTGCAGCTGAAGTCCATATTCCACAGTGTCTGGAAGAGAAAAAGGAACCAAGATTAGCATCACACCATCATTCAGACAACAAACAACAATATAAGCTCATGAGATTGTAGCCAGTGTGACTTCTTGATATTGAAAAAGAATAAACTAATAAACCTTCCATTTTCCTGGCATGGCTTATATTCTGTATGATCAGAAGCCTGCCATGAACACTTCTAAACATCCATTAAACAATCCTTTCAGCCCTTCTTTACTACCTCCGAATTTCTTTATGACTCCCTCCAGGAAGAGATTTATATCACAGACGTCCCAGATCCTCCACTTCAGGGCAGGAGGAAAAGCCACAGGAGGATCCTCTAAGTTCTCCTTCTCCTGAGACCTGGGAGGAGAAGAACAAAGTCAAGTCACCATCTGTCAGGGAACTGCCATCGGAGCTAGAGGCGGAGGGAAGGCTCGAGAGGGATGCCGGAGAGGGTCCCAGTAGGGAGAGAGGCAGCCCGTCCACTGGGGAAGGAAATCAGCGTAACACCAGTAGAGAAGGTGGGCAGATGGGGGAATCGGAGAGGAGGCTCCAAGACTCCTTGCCGGAGACCAGCGGAGAGAGTACGGGTCCTCCGCTGCCCACACCCTCCCTGTGCAGAAGGCTTCCGTGCAGGGAGACTAGGCGGAGACTAGGCGTCAAAGAACTTTTGTGCTAGAAGAAGTTTAAGAAACGGCCAGTGGCGTAGCGTGGGGGGTGCAGGGGGGGCCGGCTGCACCGGGCGCAACATCTGGGGTTAGGGCAAATCCACAGGTTAGGGGGCGCAAATCCACGGGTTAGGGGGCGCAAATCCATGGGTTAGGGGGCGCAAATTACTTGCCTTGCCCCGGGTGCTGACAACCCACGCTACGCCACTGGAAACGCCCACTGACAGATTCTGCCAGCGACTGAGACAGTCACGATGCTAGAGGCTGTTCAGTCAGAAAGGGTTCAACCAGGTAACCTAGCCAGGAGTGGCGGCAACTTACGCACGAGCAACCCCTAAACCCATTACACCATCCTTCCAATGCAAGGAGCTTTCTGAGAAGACAGGTGTCTCATCCTGATGATAAAGGCTTGATGGATATATATCATGAAGACTTGGGAGCAGGGTTTTCCAATGGCAAAACGGAGCATATAGAATGATGTGTGGATTTAGAAGGCATCTAAGAAGTTGAAGAACAAACAACATACACCTGCTTCCAAAATATGCTGAAGGAAATATATGAATATGAGATTGAAGGTAAAGAAGCTGATATATGCAAATTAATTGTTTTAGGAAAGTGAGCAATACTGGGTCTTTACGCAGAGATTTTAGGACTACACCAGTTTTAGTGAAGAATTTCAGGTGATTAATGAGCAAAACAAAATAGGTCTGGTATGTGCATTTCTGAAATATAAGGAAGTTCAGAATGCTTTAGAATGGCTTTTGCATTTAACATCATAAATGTATTTTAGCACAGTGGTTATATATTTAAAAATACAGAGGATATTGGAAATTAAAGCAGTATTTTCTAAACATGGAAGATTCTCAAAATTCATGAGTGTTTGAAGATGTTGCAGGTGTTTGGGGGAGAAGGCTCTCAGCGGGTTCTCTTCACAATGGCTGGGTCAAAAGCAGTGGTGCCTCTGAAACCACAGGAGGGGAGTGTCCTCTGGGGCTCAGATCCTGCCCATCGGTTTCCCACTGGCATCTGGTTAATCACTGTGAAAACAGGATGCTGGACGAGATGGTCCACTGGCCTGATCCAGCAGGGCCCTTTCTCACATTCTTCTCTGAAGAAGAACCAGCAGGAGCCTGAAATACACTGGATATTTAAGGGACACGGGTGGCGCTGTGGTCTAAACCACCGAGCCTCTTGGGCTTGCCGATCTGAAGGCTGGCGGTTCAAATCCCCGCAATGGGGTGAGCTCCCGTTGCGCGGTCCCTGCTCCTGCCCACCTAGCAGTTTGAAAGCACACCAAAAAGTGCAAGTAGATAAATAGGTACTGCTCCGGCGGGAAGGTAAATGGCCTTTCTGTGCACTGCTCTAGTTTCGGTGTTACATTGCGTCAGAAGCGGCTTAGTCATGCTGGCCACACGACCCAGAAAAGCTATCTGTGGACAAACGCCTGTTCTCTCGGCGTGTAAAGCGAGATAAGCGCCGCAACCCCAGAGTTGTTCATGACTGAACTTAACGGTCAGGGGTACTTTACCTTTACCTTTTCTGTAAGGAATGTTCCTGCTTTTCTGTATCTATTCCAGAGTAAATGAATCCATCAAGGAAAAGGGAGAATTATGTAATGGAGGGGAACAAGGAATGGCTTCCTTCCTATGATTCTAGATGAGACCAATAGCTACAAATGACTAGGAAAATGTGTCCGTGTTTTTGTCTGTGATCTTGTGGAATGGACGATGGAGTCCTAAGCTATCTCTGGAAGGAGGAACTGCAGAGCGAGTTTCCCACCTGTTAAACAGGAACTTTTGTAGCATCAGAATAAGGCAGGGGTTTTCCATCACTTACCTCTGCAAGAAGCTTCCAATATCCTGGAGGGAAAGAAAGAGAAGGAAAGATGTCAGTGGAGCCAGAGCACTGTCATCAGTTTGTTGTTGTTAATTCTGCTGTTGTCATTATCGATTTTGTATACCACCCTATACCCGCAGGTCTCTCAGCAGTTCCCCAAATAAAATCACAAGATAAAAACATAAAATTCATAATAAAACAAAACAAGAACAACTAAATAATACAAACTGACTTCAGAGGCAGCCCCAAGTACAACCCCCAAGCTATGTATCCACTCTTTCAGAGGAAGCGCAACCCCATCAAGAGCAGGCCATCTCCCACCCATCCGGTCTGGGGAACCACCCACTAATAGCTCCTCAGTCTTATCTGGATTGCCTTTCAGTTTGTTGGCTCTCATCCAGTCTGTTAGAGAGACAAGACAATGGTCCAACACTTCCACTGCCTCACCTGCAGATGTAAAGGAGAGTCACCAGCATATTGTTGAAAACATGCTCCAAACCTCCGGATGACCCCAGTTATCAATACAGTGGTACCTCTGGTTAAGTACTTAATTCGTTCCGGAGGTCCATTCTTAACCTGAAACTGATCTTAACCTGAAGCACCACTTTAGTTAATGGGGCCTCCTGCTGCCGCTGGAGCACAATTTCTGTTCTCATCCTGAAGCAAAGTTCTTAAGCTGAGGTACTATTTCTGGGTTAGCGTATGTAACATGAAGCGTATGTAACCCGAGGTACCACTGTACTAAGCAGCTGATCAGCACTTACTGTGGAAAAAGGTGGGCAGAGAGCTACTGGTTTTTAAAGTTTCCCAGAGACCTCTGGTTGGCCAATGGGAGAACATGATGAGAGAATGAAGGGGCTTGTGGTTTGATCAAGTAAGGCCGCTTTTGCGATCCCAGGCCTTTCACACTTCATGTACCAATTGTTTATTTTAGAACAGGTTTCTTTGGCAGGGTGGGGGCTAAGATGTTATTCTCCTGCCTATAGTCTGAAGCATCACACTCCACCCTCTCACATCAGGATGAGGCCTCACCTGAAGGAGTTCACTCGCTGGTTCCTGAAGCTTCTCCTCCATCTCCCGGATGAGGCTGTCAAGAGAGGAGAGTTCCCCGGAGAGTCTGGCCAGGTGCTCCTCCCTTTTGGCTGCAATCTCCTTCTCCACCTCTGCCATCTGGGCCAGAATACGTTTCTCCTGTTCTTCCAGAAACTGGTGCAGTTGCCTGAAGTCAGCCACCATCTTTTCCCTCTCTGCACCTGTTTGTTTCTGCAGCAAAGAGGTTGAAAGAAGAGAAGAGTGGGCCAATATCAGGCATCTAGTCTGCTCTTGCAGGATGAAGAGGCCAGTTATCCGAATTCCCTTGGAAGGACACTTCTGACATATTCAGCAGAGAAAGAGCTTCATAAAAACTCACAAGTCCATCCCCTCCTTTAAATGGTCTTTCATGCTCTGTGGGAGATCAGACCATTCACAAAGAAACCTCTTTCTGTATTCCATATTCTCTCCCCCCCCCATATCGATTCTAGACTATAGCACTTTTTCACCTTAAAGTAACAATGGTGCTTACAAGCAGGTCTTGGCTTTCCTTTTCTGTGTCTGCTTTAAATACTAGAATTTTCTCTCTCTCCTTCCTCACATTGTCTAGGCAGCTGCTGATCTGATCCTGAAAAGAAAACAAAATCCAAGTTGGGCTGCATCACACATTAACAGGCAAGCTGAATCTTATGTTTGCTCCCTGCCCCACATCCCTGGGTCTTTTGCAGAGGCTCCCCCTTTTCATCCCAGATGAGGCAGAAATGGGGCTGCCCTATATCAGAGCTGAGAAACATGGGGGGGTTGCTATTTGTCCCCCACACTCAACACACCTCCAACATCTCCCCCCTCCTCTTTATTAAATTAATCCTAGATGCTGTAATCTTTTGTCCCAGGGGAGTTACTGCAGCCTGCATTCAGGGGGTCACTGGGGGCACTTTAATCCCTCAAAAAGAAAAATAAATGTTTATTGTATTAATTTTTAGAAGATTAGTTGTATCAGGAGAATACCTTTTGGGCTGCAAGTTGAGAGAATACATTACAATATTATTATTATTATTATTATTATTATTATTATTATTATTATTATTATTATTATTATTATTATTGCAAGCCCCTCTTGTCTGCAGCTTTTCCACTCCCCAAGAAAGACCCACTGCCTTTTCCTACCTTGTACTCCTGGGACGCCTCCTCTAGAGGAACCACCTCGTGGCTTTTGTGCTCCTTGGATTTGTCACACACCACACAGATGGGGATTTCGTCCTCCTGGCAGAAGAGCTTCAGGGGCTCCTGGTGCTTCTCGCAGACCTTTCCTTTTCCTTCTCCCTCCTTTTTCCCGCCCAGATGGCTGAATTTCTTAGTTATTTCTACAAAATTTGCCAGCTGCTGGTTTCGCCTGATGCTGCTTTGCTCAACATTTTCCCTGCACTGAGGGCAGGAAGCCTCTCCCTCGGATTTCTCCCAGCACTGGACCAGGCAGGATCGGCAGAAGTTGTGCCCACACTCATGAATGATCACTGGATCTCTGAAATAATCCAGGCAAATGGAGCAAGTGGCTTCCTCGCAGAGATCCCGGACGGGACCCTCAAAAGCAGCCATGCTTGCTTCGCCAGGAAGAGAGAGCTGGTTTCGTTCTCTCTCTTTTCCGCCTGCAAATGGGCTTGTTCCCGTTCCAGGAAATTCGGATTTCCGGGAAACTCAGGATCTCTGCTGCCTTGGAGTTGGGTGGAGCCTCGAGCAGCTTTGATACGGTGGAAATAAATATATTTATTTATTTTAAATGGAGTGCTCATCGTTGGTGGCTGCTCGTTTATGGAACCATTTCCCTGTGGGAGCTGGTGGAGTTTGTTGTAGTTTTGTTGACTATCAGCACGTCAGGCTCAGACTACTTTGCAAGCTAATGAATGAATTGCCGTCCCCCTCCCCCGCCTTCCTCCACTCACAGCTTCTATCTAGTTAGTAGCCACCGCATACAGAGGAGAAACAGCCCAGCCCTCCATCAAGGTGCCAATTTTTAGTGAATCGTTTTTAGTGAATCGCCGGCGTCTGATAATGTGCAATAATAACCTCTGGAACGAACTCTGCAAAGGGCCTTCGCATACAGCTCAGCTAAATGGTATCCAGATATTTGCTAATCACACCGCAGGGCTGCTATTAGCAGCAGGTGTTTTCACTTAGCCTTGTTTTCTCAATGAATGCAGCCCTTTGTCAGTGAAATATCACTTCGTTATAAGAATTTTAAGTTCTCAAATATAAAATAAATACTGTGATACCTCAGGTTACATACGCTTCAGGTTACAGACTCCGCTAACCCAGAAATAGTGCTTCAGGTTAAGAACAGTTTCAGGTTAAGTACGGACCTCCAGCACGAATTAAGTACTTAACCTGAGGTACCACTGTACATAAATGCACACATAACTCAATATATGAACCATGTGTCTGAAATCATACGGGAGAGCAATCCTGAAGCCATTTTGACTCTCCCAATGGCCCCAAATATTCTTCTGCAGTAAGGGAGGAAAATGGGGAAAGTCCATTCATAAGGGCATATTTGTGTATGAATAGGGTGAGCTGCTGACCTGGATTCAGGAACTAAAGTATTTACTATAACAAAAGAATGGCCAAGCTGCCCAGGTCATGTAATCTGTGACCTTTAACAGGTATCCTGACAGAAGGATTTCTGCTGAAGACTGCCTCCTTCTGTGATGTATGTCTGATATTTTGGGGGTTTGGTCTTGTGCTACAGGTGGGCAGTTTCAAAAGTCTATATAGGGGCTTGCACACCATTGTTCAGGGTTCTCCTCCCTCCTTCATAGGGTGAGTGGGCAGTGGGAGGCCCCCTTAGCGAAAGTACGCCTCATGTTAAGAACAGTTTCGGCTTACAAACGGACCTCCGGAACAAATTACGTTCGTAACCAGAGGTACCACTGTAGGGGAACTTTGCAGGGAGGGCTTTCAAGCACATCTCTGAAGGGACCCTTGCTAAGATTACAAATTCTGAGTGCACAGGGTGTTGGACTTGGGATGACAAGGCCCAGGTTCAAACCTATTTGACCATAAACTTTATTGTGTCTCCTTTTTCTAAGTCTCTCAGCTCAGCCTCTTCTACCTCACAGGGTTCCTCTGAGGATAAAACAGGATATCACCCTCCTAAAATCCCTGGAGGAATTACACAGTTGAGTTCCAAACACCCCAGGAGCAACAGGAAGTACAATCTTTAGTAGAATCAAACATGTTAGCGCATGAAACATATCCCCAAATTATTTTAGGCTCGTTATACAAAAAGATAAGAAGAGGGGATCTTTAAAAATACAGGTAAGTATCTGACTCTTCATTACAAACCACCTTGGTGAAAATAATTTTATACATGGGAATTTACCACATACACATAACCCAAAATTCTCAATGTTTGCCAATGTTTTCTCCTCAGAGCTTCTGACAGAGGCTCTTCACTGTCGAAGGGGATTTTGTTACATCGAGACCCAAAACCTGCAGAGGGGTTACGTCTCTGGGGTCAGCATGCAAAGGCAATATAGTGTGAGTCAGGAAGACCCCCCCCCCCGAAAACGCCCACCAAGGAACCATACTGCTTGACCGAAGCCAGAGATCTTGACCTTTCTAGAGGTCAGTAAGCAAGGTGGACTTAGAAACTCTTTCCACCATTGCCAAATGCCCCCCCCCAACCCTTTCTGGGCTCTGGAGACTATTGTAAGATCTCACACAGTCCCTTCCAACAGTTTTTCCTGGTCTCTCACCCTCTTTCAATTTATTAATTTGTGTTTTGACGAAGGGCTCCAGGCTGAGATCACAGAAGAAAGTTGCCAGTGAGATTTGGGCCAACTACTCAACTAGCAAACAATCTTTGGATATGGAGATTTTGCTGAACTGCCACATAAGCTTCCCTGAGGAGTAGCAAAAAAAAAGGGATTTTGAAACTTCCATCTCCTTGGACAGTGGAGGTGTTGGAGGATGAAAGAGAATATGAGTTCAGGATTGAGGCTGAGGAAATGTTTTAAGTGATGCCCATACATAATTCTGATTTTATTCAGAAAATGTCTGTAGAAAATGTGTCAGAATTGGAGGTTGGAGAGAGAACTACATCGAAACAGGAATGTGGGGAGGTTTGCTGTTGTTTCCTAAATCATTTTCTTGCTTCTTTTCCCCTTTGCACCTCCTGCACTGACAGAAATAGCCGGTTCCCAAGGGAGAGAGAACAGGCAAGTTTGGGGACTGACAGGGGTCGAAATTAATCAGTGTCATTTACAAAGCTGGCCTGAGAAGGGAGGGTTGCATCGTGATTGACACAAGGGATGGCCAATCACAGTTCTGCAAATATGGTTTCTCAAGTGCTTGTCAGCTCAGTCCTGTAGAGGAGAGTGGATATGTCATTATGGCAATGAATATACGCTTGTCTGTCTGCACCTTCAGTCAATAGAGTCTCAGCTTCGCTTTCCTGCTTATGTAAAAGAAGGGCTGGAGGGTCTCTCCTGAGAAGGAGGCTGCCGAGAATGTGTAGAGGACGACTGCTGTGTCTGCATCGTAAAAGGACACCTGTCTCCCTTCACAGTTCAGGGCCACTCGGATCCTCTTGGGCTCCTCACTTGGAACAGGGGCTTCATGGGGGGAGAATAACCTGTACCCACTGCCGCACTTCCCCAAGCCCCAGATCCAACCCCAGATCCCTTCCCTGGGACCAAAAGAGAAAACACCCTTCCTCTTCACAGACTTTCTGGCCACTCCCACCCCCCATCCCTCCTCTCTTCTCACAATGACCTCCCAGAAATGTCTGCCAGCTGTGAAACCCTCACATCCCAGCACATAGGTAAGTGTGTCAAATCTCTCAGGGTTGTCTGGCAGGTCTTGATAGACGTCACCCTTTCTCACTCTCTTTCGATCCCTGGACAGGATGAGGAGGGGATTTGCTGTGTCTGGATCCAAAGTTATGTTTTCTGTGGGGGCAGAGGAGGAAAGAGAAGAGAAACAACGTCAACTGGGAAACTGACTTTTCTTTAACCACATAACAGAAACAGCATCCCCTCTGAAATGAACAGGGACTCCATGGCTCTGCATTCGAGAGAGGGATGTTCATCAAGTTCTTAATAAGGATTCTTGAAACATTTGCAGTTCTTTCAAGGGTTCACACATTATCTATATAGAACCTGACCCTGTAAGTTAAGTCAATCTTGGCATGCCCATTTTTCAGATGGTAGGACTGAGGCTGAGAGACAGTGGCGTGTCTAAGGCCACCCCCACCCCCCACCATTCATGGCAGAAGGGAGTTAAAGCAGGGACTCTAATTCACATCTTAATCTTTTACCTCACATCACATGACAGACCATGCTTGACAGGTCAGGTAAAACTGGCAGCAGGTGCTCTCACCCTCCTTGTAACCACCATTCAAGTTTCAATCATATATTTAACATTATATTACAGACCATCCTTCCAGAGAGTTTATGAAAAGCAAGAAAGTGGCTACCCTGACCCCCTTGTGTGAAATGTCCTGCTTGGGATTCTTGAAAGCGCATCATATGATTGTAGAGTTGGGAGGGACCCCAGGCCGTGGACATGGAGACTCGGCTGGCACCGCCAGCGCCCTCCCGACTCGTGAAGGAGCCTTTTTAAAGGCTACGGATCGGGTGCCGGGGAGAGGCGCGGTGCTTTGAGTCCTCTGCTAGCCCTGCCGAGCGAAGCCGCATGCCATCCGGCGGAGAGCGCTGACTTCTTCCATTGAGAATTCGGACTTTTAACAGCAACCCGTGAGTAATTTGGAAAACCGGGTTTAAAAGGAGAAAAAAAGGATTTTTTTCGGATTTGGTACGAGCGGGGGGGGGGGATCCAAAAAGGAAGTCAATCCCCCTCCCTACTATAAACATTCTAAAACAAGGACCGGGCAACCAAGGTCACGTAAGAACTGTATTTTTGATAAAAATTAAGAATTTCACGATGGGAAACTACAAGAAACTGTGCTGGAGGAGAAGAGTGGAGGGAGAAGGAAAGTGAACCCCCCCCCCCCGGGAACCGGGGCAATTGGAGAGAGAGCCTGGTGAAAAGAGACGGAGACTTTGACAGCTGTCAAAGTAGCTGTCAAAGCCGGAAAAATTTAAAGAGGACTCGGTCTTGAGGACTTTGCTGGTTAAATTTGTTACAAATTGCTAAGATTCGGATACAAAATGGCGAAAATACTGAACAACAACCAGACTTTTGGACTAGAGGATACAAAGCTAAAACAATCCCCTAGAGGAGTTTCGGGACATTACAAAGATGGTCGTAAGTGGAAAAATACCTTCGGAATTTTACAGCACTGGTTATCTTCTGGGAAAGCTGCAAAACTGATGTCTACAGGGGTGTTTACATTAAAGGAGACAATAGAATACTCTATTGAAGAAAGGAAGGGACTGAACGCAAGTTTTTGTTCCTGAATAACAAAATCCCCTGTAGAGCTACTAAATTTCTGAATTAGAATGCCTTAGCAGCGGAAAAAGATGAAACTGGACTACAACATGGAAAGAACAATGGGGGGAGCCTTAAAGACTAAAGATTGGAGATTTGAAGTTAAATACTATAAAAATAACATTAAACTTAAAAAAAAAAAAAGACTGGCAAGGGACTGGGGGGAAAATCTGATTATGGATTTGAGAATTCCAGGCAGACAATATAGATTGGTGGACAGGGGGAACTCAAACCGGGGAAGGGGGGGGAGAACTAGAATCCAAAGGCTTGCAACTACTTTTGAATTCTTTTTTCTATATACTTTTTATCTTTTTATATCTTTATATTGTTCTTCTTTATATTTTGTTGGGTGTTTTTACTTAAAAAAAAGGGAATTCGTGGAAGGAAATTGGGGGGGACCTTGGGGACAGATTTATTAGTTTTTTACCAAGGGTAATGATGAGGATTGTATAAGCTTAAATTCGAATAT